CAAAGAGTTTGTGATGTAGTTATTAAGAGAAACCTATTTAATGAGGAAAATTTGAAGAATCATACAACACAAATGAAATTAATGTGTGATGAATTTATGCAGTTTATCCAAAGCAACTCTGATGATACATGCATATCAGATCAAACACAAGTACCTTATCCTTCAAAACCTGTATTCTTTGATGGTACTTCTTTGAAACAATATAGATTTTAATTTGCTTCAATAAATTAATTGTAACAAAATTAATAATTATTAAAAAAAATGTTGAACAACACCCGAAGAATTTGCGTATCATCTTTCCAGCAGATGATTCGGGAATCTTCCCTCAAGACGTCAATTCCTATAGAAAAATATAATTGGAATCAATCAAGAAATTATAATTTCAACAAATTATATCTAGCTAGTATTCAGTCAGAATTTGGTTCAATAGGAAAATCAGTTCCTGAAAAGAATAGATTTCCAATGATAAAAACAAAATCTGGAAAACATATCCAATATATTGACCAATGTATGGTAAGAGTGAAGGGAGGAAATGGAGGAAATGGTTATGTTCATTTTCTGAGAGAAAAATATAAACCTATCGGAAAGGCAAGTGGAGGTGATGGAGGAAGTGGAGGAAGTGTTTTTATTAAATCAGTTGATAGTAGACGTTCTTTGTGTGATATTGATTTTATCCAAAAAGCTCCTGATGGAGAAAATGGTCAAAAGAGAAACAAGAATGGAAGAAAAGGCGTAAATACATATATTTATGTCCCTTTAGGTACACAAATTTTTGATGCCGATACAAAGGAATTAGTTGCAGATCTTCAAAATGATGGTGATGAAGTGTTGGTAGTTAAAGGAGGTAAAGGTGGATTGGGAAATCAACATTTTTCTTCTAGTACAAACCGTAGTCCACAACAAAGTCTTGATGGTATAAAAGGTGAACAAAGAATTCTCAAATTGAAACTGAAAACAATAGCAGATGTAGGGTTGTTAGGATATCCAAATGCTGGAAAGTCCACTCTGTTAGGTTCTATTTCAACAGCCAAACCTAAAGTTGCTGCCTATTCATTCACAACACTTCATCCTACTGTGGGAGAAGTTTATCATAGCGAAAGTGGTTTTACTTTTTCTTGTGCAGATATTCCTGGATTAATCGAAGGAATGAATAGCAAACTAAAAACAAAAGGTTTAGGCCATGATTTCTTGCAACATATTGAAAGAACAAAACTTTTACTCTATGTTGTGGATGTAAGTGGTCTAGAAGGTATGGGTATTCAATACAATGAAGAGACTGGAGATGTCAAATATGAATTTATTACGGATTCTTCACCATTTGATTATAGTAAGAATACAGAAGAATCTAAATTATTGTCTAGGCAATCTGAAAAAAGAATGTCAGTTCTTTCACCAAAAACATCATATGATGATGATGTGTTTGATATAAAATCATCTGCCATGATGGACTATTTTGGAGAGGAAGCAGATACAGTATTGGACGATTTGGAAGATGATGATGTTATGATAAATAATTCTCGTATGGAAAAACTGAGTAAAAGAAGACAGGCTCAGGAAAGATTTAGAAACAGAACTCCCTTACTTCGAACAATTACGCAAGATGAGTCAATAGAATTAAATAGGGAAGTAAGAGATTCACAATATCATAACCAAGAAATTGATGAAGAAATTGATGAAGAAATTGATGAAATTGTATATCACCACTCTAGTATGGATAGAACAGATCCAGAAAACACTTCTATTAACCATGATCCATATGCCAATACTATTCTTGATACCTTACCTGAATTTAAGAGGAAACAAAGACTATATCAACCATGGGATGTTTTGAGATTACTTAAAAAAGAGGTAGAACTCTACATGCCAGGTCTTTCAGATAGAGCACAATGCATTATTGCAAACAAAATGGATGTTCCTGGTGCTGAAAAGAATTTTGAAAAGTTAAAAGAATTCGTACAAAGCGAGTTTGGTGACATTCCAGTAATACCAGTTTCTGCCAAAGATAGTGTAAATGTTGAGAATGTAAAGACTTTCTGCATTGAATATTTGGAAAAGAATAAGAAAAAATTGGAGCAAATGCAACCTCAATCAGATCTTTACTAAACTTGTCATTAGAATATTAAAAGGAAGAGTAATTTGGTTATTCAATCTTCTTTTTAGCAATGTAGTTAGTGTAGAAAAATTGAATAAATTGTAAGATCAAAGTACCATTAACAAGATGAGAAAAAATTCCTGCATAATACCCATTAGAACAATGGTTTTCACCTTTGATGAAGAACCAATATGAAACAAGTAAGAAACCAGAAAATAATTGAACAATTTGACCACCAGTTAGGATATTCTTCCATTTAAGTACCTTTCCTCTTGCTGCTTGCAAATAATAATAGTACATGATTGTGTGGATTATTGACTGAACAGTAATGGTATAGGAAATCAAATTTGATAGATCCATGGCTTGTTAAATTTAACAATTAAATTTGATACCTACGTTAACAAATATACACCACCAGGAGCCAATAAACCAAGGGTCCTTAAGCCAACTCCAAGTAATCCAAATCATTATTAAATGATGATACACATGAAGGACAATTAAGGGTTTTTTCTTAACAACAATCAACAATGTATCCACCAATTCGTAGTATTTGGAAAGGTGATAAACAAACACCCAAAAGGCTACAGGCCCATTGGTCATTAACTTTGATTCCTTGTCATCATCGGGGCAAATTGCTCCTCTGAAAACACCTTCATCTAAACATCTTTGATAAATCTCATATATAATACCACACATCATGGAAAAGGAAAGTACAATCAAAATGAGGTTGTGTAGTTGTGTGAGGGTGTACATTATTGGACCATCCTTGATCTTTTTACTATCAAGAGATTGTTCATTTGGTTCCACTCTCTTCTCGGTTCCAAGAAGTGTCTTTAGACCATATGAAACAATGAGGTAAAGAACGGAAACAATAAGTGGAAGTTTAAAATCCAAAACCCATTCATGATTTTTCACGTCAAAGTTGGAGAAATAATTGAGCATTTTTTTTGTACGAATTTGTCTCAGACAATTTGTGAATCATCAAAATTGATGCTGGTAAGCGAATTACCCGTTGTGAAAACAAGGATGGATATCTTTTAAAAGAAGCTAACAAGACTTTTGTTGAACCAATCCTTTGGTTCAATTAAGGAAAATCAAATGAGCTGTTGGGTTGCTACTCATTATTTGAATTTATTGACACAAGAGAACTTCTTGTTTCAATCTTTTGCTCAAACTCTTTAAATAATTTCCACCGTTTCTTGCTCTCTGTACTTGGGAAAATCTTGGCCAGAGTGAATGAAAAAAGTTCTTGAACTAATGCCACTAAAACTCCCATAAAGGCAACCCCATACAATACAAAAAATATTAAAATTACCTTAGAAGCTGTATCTGTAATAAATATTAACATCATATATAGAAAATCAATTACGTACGTGTTACATAAACATCCCCAAAACCTATTGTTGTCAAACTAATGATTGTAAAATAGAGTGACCTTAAAAAGGTCCAATTTTCGTTCTTACCACTTTCCAGGCTCAAAAAGATACAAGCACCAATTACACAATAAGTAATAATAAACAAAACAAAGTAACAAAGTTGAGCATATGGGTTTGTCAAACCTTTTCGAATAGTATTTGTTAAAAAATATCTCAACCTTGTTCTACTTATTATCAATCTGAGCATTCTCTCGATGGTTATAGATATAAAGTGAAGAACAAAGTTAATGTTTTGAAGTAAACGTTTGCCAATAATTGATATTAAAAACGAGATCCAAATTATACCAAAAATAGCATGAATAATCACCAGTATTTCCCCTGCAACAGTAATCGGTGAGTAGTCACCATAACCTATTGTTAGCATTGTTACTGCACTGAAATAAAAAGCAGATAAATAGTTCCATTTTGGAAGATTCTCCAAGGTGTAAACAATTGTTGAATTTGAGTTTGATAAGCCTCCTTCCTTTTCTTCCAATTGTTGCAATTCGTTCATTCCCTCAGTAATCCATATGGATATGCAAAATAATGCCATGAAAAGTAGACATATAATTGTCATTGAAACTACCCACAAACAATTATTAAGAAATTGCCTTTTAGACATCATTGTGGATTCTTTCTTTTCCCTTAATTGTAATATATCAATAGTGCCATAGTATTTAATATAGTCTCTATATTTTGCAAAATAATATTCATGTCTATTCAAAATACATATATAAACTGTGTCACAAATGTACAACTCAGTATCAATATTTTCCATTGTTTTGTCAAAGCCATGAAGATCATAAAACTCGTTCAAGTATTCCTCTACATCCTCTATGTCAGGCAATGACATTTTTAACATTTCCAAGTTGTTATAATTAACACAATAGCCTTTGGAAAAATGACTTTCAGGCCAAAAACATTGAGATATTACACAAAACTTGTCTTTAGAGAAGTTTGCTCGAGTACTGGGATGATTACGTGAAAAGGTTGTTCCATCCTCTTTAATAATATTCACAGGTTCAGAATCCATTTTTTTTCCTTTTTCCTTTAAGGTATTAGATTGTAGAACTTCATCTTTGGGTTGTGAAGAATATTCCTCATGAAAATACTCTGAATAAATATCAAATCGTTTAAATAAAATGGATTGTCCATCTTGGTCCTTTTGATTTGTGAATGTCTTTAACTCTTGTTGAAATTCGTCGTCTTTGTGAGAAGTTGCTCCCTCATTACTAAAAAAAGAATCGGAAAGGAGTTGGTTTAATCTAGCTAAGTGGTTCAGTGTATGGAGAGGTTGATTGCCAATAGTATGATATTGAATTGTTACATTATTAGTCCCATCATCAGACCAACGTTGGTCAGTTATTTCAACGGGGTTTAACGTTATTTCCACATCTTCCTCATTCCTTAATAATTGTTTATTGGAGAGCAACCGCTCTTCCATTTTTTTTAATGATCAAAATTAAAGCTTCTCTAAAACTCACAACAAATTAATGGTGGTTTTAGCTGTGAAAATCAGTAAGATATTTTGAAGGCAAGTACTTACTGTACCATCCAGCTCGAATTGAATCAAGATCATCTCTATTTAGCAATTCATTTAGAGTTGCAAAAGTGTTAAACATACATTTATTTACAATAATTTACAAAGTTTAGAAAGTGAATTGTGATTCTTGTTCATTTTCCATCATTTGGTCTTGAGTTGTTATTACTTTTAGAATTGTCTTCCTACTTGTTTCCTGTAACTCTCCATTCACAAAAACTTCATCCAAAATAAAGTACGCTTTGTGGAAATTTAAAATTAAATCCAATTCACAGACATTTCCAAAATATTTATCTAATACCTCCACAAAATGGTGTATCATTTCCATAGCAATTAACTCGTTATCATCCTTGTCTATGCAAGCAACAAAATAAAGTGATGCATATCGTTTAAAAACCAATTTATGTTCTTTAAAATCGAGAAAGTTACTCAACTTTGATGGTCTTCCGACAACCATATGAGCAACTTCCTTTACTATTCTTGCTCTTTCATTTTGTGAGTAGGTTGAATACCATTTGGCGAGACGAACCTTTGACTGTCTTGATATTAAAAGAACAAAATGAATCATTTTTTTTATGATGATGTCAGCAATAAATTTATTGTTTGATTTTCTTTGTTGGAGGTTGTGGTGTTTTTGTTTCTGTTGTTGGAGTAGAGGTTGAATCATTTGATGAAGTGGGCGTTGATGATGAAAGCTTTCTTTTTCCGTATAAAAACTTATCCATTCTCTCCATCATATCTAACTTCTTTGTTGTTTCTTCTGCAACTCCTTTTCTTGTGGCTCTGAAATTCTTTGTACCAATAGTTTTAATGTCTTGTTGTTGTACGTGAATCTTGGCTTGTACGTTACCTAGTTCATCTCTGAAAACATTCTTTAAACGATCCTTGCTCTTTCTCAAAACATCTGGAATCTTCATGGCATTCTTCTTTAAATCATCAGAAGCCCATCTTGTTCTTCGGAGAGACAACTTCATTGATGGACCAATATCAACTAATTGAACATGAGGAGTTTTTTGACCACTCTTTTCAAAATTGATTTTGTAATGATTAAAAGCTAAATTATTGCTATCAATAGCAGTAATTGAAATAACATGATCTAAACCTAATAAATTGATTGATGAAGGATCTTCAATTCTGAAAAAATCTAAAAACATGCTTCTAATAGTTTCAAATTGTGGATTGTTTTTAAATTCATCTCCTTTAAATACAATACAAGGCTTGCTTCCGAGATTGTTCAATAGGCTTGCCTTGGATTCCATTTGTTTCAATTCACTTACTCCGAACTCAACCATATCTAAGATTTGTTGATCGAAACATCTTCCCATTATTATATTGTTTGGTCTTTTCTTTTGGTGGGATCCAATAAGGAAAAGAGATGTATCTTCGGATTTTACTAGCTTTTCAATTGGTTGGACTTCTTCGAATGGTAACAAGTCGTGTGTTTCTTGTGTAAAGTTAACAGAGAATGGTGTACGTAAGCGATGAAGATCTTGTAATAATGTCTTGAGATCCTTATTTACTTTTCTTCCGGACAAGATGAGGGATCTTTTTGGATTTTCAATAACTTTTGGCTTTCTGTCTTCTAAAAGTTTGGTTGCTTTTCTCTTGGCCTTTTTTCTAATCATTTTAGATAATGATGGTTGTGAATTTTTTTTTCTGGTGTATTGTCTGCATTTTGTTTGAAGTAAAAATAAATCATGAAATATTTTGAAGAAAATTTATTTGATAAGATTTAATTTTGTTTAAAATAGTTTAAAACCTATTGTTTATTATTTAATATTTCAATTTAATAATGTTATTTAATTTATTATTAATATATTTAAAAATGTAATTATTTATTGAACAACTGAAAAGCCGCATCGTTCTAACAATTAAAAATAAAATAATTATCTAAAAAAATGCAATTCCAACTTGATGCAGAAGGTAAGTTTGTTGTTTGTCTTAAGAAACAAATTGTTCAAACATATCCAATTCGTAAAAAGCATTCAGAAAAGTTCACCCATTGGAGTTTTATAACAAATTTTTACCGGAAGGCGTTAGACCTGATGGTAGACCATTGAACATGATACGAGAGACTGTTGTTTCATCGGGATCTTTGGGAAATTGTGAAGGATCATCTCTTGTAAAGACTGGAAATACAAGTGTTGTTTGTGGAATTAAAGCGGAAGTAATGATACCAACAGAAGATGCACCAAAAAATGGAAAAGTTGTCATTTCATTTGATTTTCCTTCTATTTGTGCAGCCGATGTTACTGGAAATTGGGAAGAAATTAATGAAAAAAAAAGTGTAATTCAACAGAGATTGGCAGGAATATTTTATAATTGCAATGTTATGGATCTTAGTCAATTGTGTATAGAAGAAGGTAAAGCTGTTTGGGTTTTATATGCAGATTTATATTGTTTGGAAAATGATGGGAATGTATTCGATGCAGCACTTATTGCTTTATTAACAGCACTGAAAAATGGTGAGTTATTTTCATGAATTTAAATAATAACTTTTATTGAAATATAGTATCACTTCCAACTTGTCAAATAACGAAGGATGATGAGGCAATTGTCACTAATGAAAATTCAAACATTAAACTTCAATTAGACCATTATCCAATACCATTGTCATTTGGTAATCTTTCAGAGTAAGTTTATTACAAAAATTTTCATCCAATTCTCTTTAAGATTTACAATAGTAGATCCAACAAGTGAAGAAGAATCACTATTGGCTTGGAAATTAACAATTGTTTATAATGAAAGAAATGAGTTATGTTCGTTATTTAAACCTGGTGGAAAGTCTATCAAACAGTCAACATTAAATTATTGTTTAGAGATGGCCAAAAAGAGAACAGGAAAAATCATTTCAATGATTGAAAAATCTGTTTCTGTCCAATAAAAACATTGACAAAAGAACCAATGCATTCTTTAATTATTAAATCCATTAAAAAATAGAATATTTTGCTTGCTAAAAATAATTTAAAAAAAACGTTAAAACAAATTAACTTCATAAGTTATTAACCTCTCTAACATAAAAAAGATCATCATCTTGAGGTTTTAATAGGTTTTAAAATTTATTTTAATAGTGGCAGAATAAATATACTGTATATAAAGGAATGCCGGAAATTTGGTGCAGCACTTGCAAAGCACACGTAAATCCAGAACAAACAACAGAAGGATTATATTGTGGAGAATGTGGAGAAGAATTAGGTAGTCATTTTGAAGAAACTGTAGAGTTTAACGAAAATCATACTATGGTTGGCAGATTTGTTTCGTCCGAGAGAGCAATGGCTAGTGCAGCTACAGCACTTGCTGGAGTGCCACAATTTTCCTATGATGAGAATGGTAATTTAATATTTACTTCTGCAGTTCCTCAGGCTGGGAATACTGAAAAGCCAATGACAGAAAGTAGACTTCAAACTATTGAAAAAGCAAAAAGAAGAATAAGTGTAATTGCACTTTTAATGAAAATACCAAACCATTATGTTGACCGAGCGACAAATACTTACAAATTAGCTCTTTTGAAAGGATCTACAAAAGCAAGAAATCCTGATATTGTAGCAGCAGCTTGTTTATATTTTGTTTTACGTCAAGACAAACAACCATACATGTTAATGGATTTTTCTGAATCTATGAAAACAGATGTATTTTTAATAGGTCATTGTTTTTTAGATTTAATGACTGCTCTCAATTTTAAATTACCAGCAGTTGAACCTTTCTTTTATGTGAGACGTTTTGCAAATAGGTTATTATTGAACTCTGGAAAAGAAAATGCAAATCAAGAAGCAATTAATAGAGTAATCCAAACAACTTTGAAATTAATTGCCAGTATGAAAAGAAATTGGATTCAAACAGGAAGAAGACCTGCTGGTATTTGTGCTGCAGCACTTTTAGTAGCAGCTAGAATACATGGATTTAAAAATATTTCAAAACAAGATGTTGTAAAAGTTGTAAAGATATGTACAGCTACTTTAACAAAACGTTTAATGGAGTTTGATAAAACAGAAACAGCTCAACTTTCTCCTGAAGAGTTTGAAAGAAGAGAACAAGAAATTAATAATGGTAGTTTTCAGGGAACAATAGACGTTTCAGATCCTCCTGCATATTCTCGTTCACTTAAGGAAAAATCTAAACTTATGGAAAGATATGAACCTGAACAAAAGGATTTAGAAAGAGGAACAGATGTTAATGATCAAGATGTTGAAGAAGCAGAAAAACTTATTCAAGACAAGGAAATTGAAGAAATATCAACAGAACTAGAAAAAGGGGATCAATTAGCAAGAGCGCAAAGATTACAAGAATCCCAATCAAAACCAATACCGGATACTACTTTACCTTCTTCATCTCTTCCTTCAGCTAGTCAAGATGTTAGACAAACTCAAATCAAGAGTTCTGAATTTGAAGATGATGAATCTATTTCATATGAAGAAAGTAATAATCACTCAAAAATTTCCATAGAAAATCAAACAGAACAACAAAATCAAATAGAAGAAGACGAGGAAGAAGAAATTGATACATTATCTGATTTTGAGGATGATTCCGAAATTGAAGAAATTGTTATTACTGAAGAATCAGAAATAGAAGGAAGAGAAAAACTTTGGGATGAATTGCATTTGGAATATCTACAAGCCATGGAAGAAAATAGAAAAGAAAGGGAAGAAAGAAAAAAGAGAGGTGGTGGAAGGAGAAAAAGAAATAATACGAATGTGGATGCATCTTCTTCAGTTTTTAATATGGGAGGATTAATTTATGGAGCTAGCAATTCAAATCAACCTGAAACACATGCAGTTTTTAGAAGTGCATCTGAGGCCTCTGCTAATTTACTAAGAGCTAAAATAGCAAGAAATTTGGTTTCTAAATCTCTTTTTGATGAAGATGAACTTTTAAGTGATACAATGACAATACCACAATCTAATGCTGATGTTGACAATAATTTATTAGGAAAACGAAAACCATTATCTATTCAAGAGAAGAATAGATATGAATACAAGAATGATGAAGAGTATGAAGATGATTTTGTGGATGACTTTGAAGGTGATTATGAAAAACAGCCCAAGAAATTCAAGTTTAAAAAAAAATAAAAAAAAAAATTATTTTATAAAAAATATGCCACCAAGGAAATTTGCTAAGAGAGGTAAAAATAAACCATCATCACCCACAGTTAGTGATGAGGAAATAGATCTTGGAGAAAATACAACAAGTAGTGAAAATAATATTTTAGAAAAGCCAGAAATTGGATCAACTTCCAATACCGAAGAACATCTACCATCCGAGCAATATTTACAAATAATACGTGAACATTTTATACAATCATGGAACAATAACAGTTCACCTTTTAAATGGGCTTATCAATTAAAACAAAAATGCAAAAACAATCCAAATCTTGAAAATCACTTGATTGGTATGTTTTTTTGAAATTTTGACAAAATTACCCTTTCGACAGAATCTTTTATTGATATCACTCTTAGACGTGATACAAATAGTAATATATTTTTTAATTACTTGAATCATTCTCTGATGACGGAGCTTTTATCATTGGATACTTTTACAAAACAACTCTTTGACATTCTTCAAGTTGACAATAATAATATTTGGAAAAAAACATCATCATGGTTTGAATTATTAAAAATCATAGAATACCACTTACCAATAGTTGTAGAAAAGATTGCAATTTCTTCATCTGTGAGGATTGGTGACAGTGATAAAAATCATAATGTGCAAATAATTGTACAACCACAATTGTTGGAAAATAACAAAAAAAGAAAGATTGATGGAGTTGTTGATTCGGATTTAAATAATAACAAAAAGAGAAAATTTATTGTTGATTCATCAGATTTTAATAATTTAAAATATATATCTAGGGTTGTAATCAACTCTTTCATGATTAATTGCTTATATATTGCTAATTCATATGAAACATCAGGAAGTAATTCTCTAATTTGTCTAAATATTATCAAATCTATTCAAGTTCTTTATAGAATTTTAACACAGCCAAATATTAAACTCTTTTTATTATTTTCAAAATATACAGAACAGGAGTTATGGACAGTATTTATGAATATTACACATTCTAAATTAATACCAATTCTAGAAAAAATTAAACAAATATCATCAAACAAACAAACACATTTAGAAAAAGAATTTGTAAATTTATGGCAAGCACTAAATAGGTTTATAATATTTATGCTATCTACTGAAAAAAATGGAGAATATCAAGCAATTCAATTTAAAGAATTGAATCATTCTAGACCTTCTAAATCATTGCAATCAACTTTAAATGAAAAAGCTTGTTTTACTACTTCTCTACTTGTTGAAGATGAAATATCAACCAAAAGTATTACACGTACAAATATTGATAACACATTTTCAAGATTTGATAATATCAGAATTTTAAAGGAAAGAAGTTTTTTAAACTTTTATTTTGACATTCTTTATAGTGGAATAGAAAAAGTACACGATCTTCAAGCACTTGAAATAACAGATATGGCCCAAAGATTAATTGTAGACGACAAGGCTCATAGAATTATGGTAAGAAAATCTTTTCTAGTTTCAAAGCTCCCTCTTTTAATTAAGAAATGGTATGACAGTTTTGGAAATGAAAAACAGTTCTATGATCCATTTTTCAATTGTGCAAATATTAAGAATATTCATAGCAGTTATTCAGAAAAAGATATAAGGTATCTTACTGATACTTCATTCAATAGTATTGAAAAAGCACTTTATATGACTTCTAAATATTGCGTAATTACAAATCATCAACATATTTTAAAGGAGATAATCAATCATTGTGTATCACTCAAATTAATAGCACCAGAAAATATAAGAATGTTAATTAATGACAGTGTAATTGACAATGAAGAAAATGAGGATATAGAAATTCAAAAAAATTATTTTTCAAACTTTTTAGAGAAAAATCCTGTTGAATATGTAGTTAATTTGGTAATTTGTCCAAGATATCAAGCAGCTGTAATTAAAGCTGACTTTTTAGAAACAAGTGAACATTACTTTGGAAAAATGGACTGTTTGATAAGAAATCCATCAGTTTTGGATATTATACAATTACACGGGTTTATACCTGATGTATTAGAACGAGTATTTATTGAAATGAGAAATATTTTTGATACCAAAGAGGATCTACAACATACAAAGTTTGCTTTGGCATTTACTCTATTGTATATAATTGCTGAAAGATTTGAATTTAAAAAGGTTAAAGAAAATAGAGAAATATTTTACATGTTGATGGATAGACATTTTATTAATGAAAGCGCTTTGGTACACTTAAAAGAATGGTTTCAAAACTGGTTTGAGGATCGTTTGGATAGATTTAGTGAAAGTATTGAAATTTCTAATATTTGCCAAGATATACTTAAAGAATTGTTTTCAGTTTCTGCAAGAATAGCCCAAGCAGGTTTTGGCGGAGAAGTAGATATGGAAGGCATACAAAAGTTAAGAAGACAATACTCACCTTCTGTAATTTTAAAAGCATCTACTTGTATGGCCAAGCTGTTTGTTGAATGGTATTTTTTAAAACCAGCAGATTTAGAATTTAAATTGGTTCCAATTCTTTCCTTTTTCCATGAACAGTTTGGATATCATGTAGAGGTTGGATTTTCAGCTGGATTACTTCCAGCATGTTTGCAAGTGTTTCCTAATCTTGAAAGTACTAGAGAAAAAATTCCAGATCTAGTGGAATCCATATACAAAGCATTTTTAGCTAAAAATAGAGAAGTATTTGGATTTAATATTTCAAGTATAATGTTACATAATTTACTTGTTCAATGTGTTCATACCTGCACACAAAATATCAAATCTTTGGAAAGAAGAAAACCAGTTGTATTTAATTATCACTTACCTACTATTCAATCACTTCTTCATGAATCTTATTTAATTACAGGTTCAAACATTGAATGGCAATTAGCAACTCAAGAAGATTCCCAAGAATTACATCAAGGAAAGGTCTTTCTATTACCTCCATTATTAGGATTTGGAAATACAAACGTTAATCTTTCATCTTCTGCTTCTTCAGCAGTTGTACAAACATGGGTTGAACACGAGTTTGAAAATATATATAGAAGTTTGGCTGTTTCTAGTTTGACTTCTCTAACTACACAGGGTTTTATAATGAACTCTACAATGCGAGTATCGTTTAATGTACTTGTGAGAGGTTACAGAGCTATGGGAGCGCTTAATTTTCTTAAGTTTTTATTAGATCATATTTTTGAATGTTTACTTAAAGAGGATGAAGAACCTTTTGATGCCATAAGAGTAGCTGAGGCCGCAGCAATAATGTTCTTTATAAGTGCTGGTGAGGATGGTATTGATACATTGTTAAGAGAGGCAACAAACAATGGATTATTTGAATTTTTACTACAACACCATCATGAACAACATAAGAATTTTCTTGAGACTGGTGTTCAAATTTATAATAGACCACCAAATCCTAAAACACCCTCTGTGAAGGGTATTCAAGCCCTTTCTAATGTAGAATATTTATACATATTGAGCTCATTGTTTGGCTACTTTACTGTATTTGTACTTTCAATTAGAGAACGAAGATTATCAAATAATGAGGGAATTCAAAGATTTATTTTCCATCTAATTGAGGAACACACACACAAGATTATTCATGAGGAAAAACATTTCATGACACATTTTACATTATCCTTTTTTGAACAACTAAGCAAAATACCAAACCTCATTTTGCAAACACAACATGTATTGAAAAAGCAGCCAGAATGCTTCCCAAATTTTTGTCAAATAGTTACAAGAGCATCAATTGGAAATTCTTTTCTTGTTTCATTTGGTCGAAACTTGGGATTTTCGGATGGTTTAGTATTAACATTGCTAAAGCATTTAATTTCAACAAGTGTTTGCGACAATGTTGGAGAGTAATTCCGCCAATTTTTTTGATAAAAATAAATTCAAAAAAAATGGCCAAAAACTTGATTTTATCATGTTGGGGATTGTCGGAAGAGTTGTTAAGTGGTGGCAGAGTATTAGACAGTATCCATACATTGGAATGTTTACTAACTAATGTTGGATTTGATCGTGATCCAATATGGGAAGTGGAAACAAGACTTAGAATTTCACAAATATATCTGAAGCATACTAGAAATTTTCAAAATTGTAAAGATCACTTATTGCGAGGTGTAGGTTTAATTAATATTATTATTTTTTTTTATAATAATAAATTTCAAGATTATGGTCTTGACATCATTCACGGATCAAGTGTCAACTGGTGTTGAAGCATATTACTTGGATCCGAAATTAAAAATTTCATCAATCCAGATAGAACTCTACAAATGTTTAGGTTTAACTTATTCACAAATGTCTCAATTTCCAAGTGCTTGTGAAATCTATAACAAAGCAATAGATTTTGTTGAATATATTTTAAATGTTATTGAATCCAAGAAAGAATTGGATGAAAATTTGAAACAACTCAAGTCATGTCTATCTTTGTGGCGCCATTATTTTCGTATATCTTTGATACACACTTTGGAAATGGATAATTTTTCTAATGATAGAACAATTGATATTGAAAGAATGATTCAAATAGGTGAAAGGGAAGAGTCGCAATGTAGTGAAAAAGTTAATAAGAGATTGATTGCCTATTATTTAATAAGAGTTTTTCAAGGGTTAAAACAAGATTATTGTTATGTTAATTGGAATATTGATTATATAGGAAAAAAGGATTATATAATTAACTCATATCTTTCAAAATTACAAAAAGAGTTCTCTGTAGAAATGGGCACAGAAGAAGAAAAACAATTTTTGGAACAAAGAACAGATCCTGACTTGGTAAGTGTTTTAGTGATTTAAATATTCTATAGCATGACTAGATTCTCCTTTATATCAAATATTTACTTTTACTTGGATTATATAAAATTTCATTAGGGAATCTTTCTGATTTGAAATTAATCCTAAAATCTATTCAAGATTGCACACAGGCACTTCAAAATGCTATGAAAACACCACATTTATTTACCTATGAATGGCTTGAATTGAATCCTATAATAAGTATGGTGTGGCTTATTGCAAGCTATTTTTATAGAACATGTGGTCAACTTTCAAAATCAGAAGGATATAACACAAAAGGAATTTCTATGGTTGAAAAATACCTAAAAGAGCTTGATAATATTGGCTTCATGCTTGATAAGAAGAAGAATGACAATGCCTTATATTCTATATTCATCAAATTTAACTTATTACAAGATATGATTTTGATTCATTTATCTAGATCAGAGTTTGTACTTGCCGCAAAAAATACTTTCAAGCTAATAGAGTTCTTATATCAATTCCCTGATCTATTTGAAACCTATAGACATAACATCCATTTATTAATTGGACTTTTATTATTTTTTACAAATAATCCCAAAACATATTCAGCTGCAAATGATCATTTTGAATTTGTTGTGAAGCATTCTACATCAAGAAATTTAGTTACTTGGGCTAATATTTATCAAATATTTTGGAAATTAAATTGTGTAGGTGAAGAATATTCTACAAACCAATTATTTAGTGATTTGGATATCCTAAATAAGTCACTAGATAAGAATGGGCTAAAGCAGGCTGAAAATTTTAAAAGTTATATTTCATTTATCAAAGGTATTCTATGTTTGAGAAATTCAGCATTCGTAGAAGCGAAAAATCATTTTCAAAAATGTATTGATCTAATGGAAAAATTGTCACTTGGTCAAAAGGGTGTACTAAGACAGTGCATTCTTGGAATCTTAAAGTGTTCATGGAAAAACCATGATTCTTCAAAACAAAAAACACTGGAAGGTGTTTCAAAAGTTGTGCAAGAGGCAACCAATGATCAAGATTTGTTGAACCAGATGCAGTGTTTAGCATTTTTATTAGAATTGTCTAACAATTCCTGTGGGTCAGAAATGGATACAACAACTGATTTTGATATTGATAATATAAGATTGAGCCAACCCGAACCTATTCAAAACCAATTCTTCCAAGTTGAACAAACACTCAAAGAAAATGTTAATATTCTACTTAATAGTGAGATTAATTCTCAATACGAAATATTAAAATCTTGGTTTCCTAATGGAAATGAGGGCTACGGCAAGAAACTTTAAATTGAATTTGATTAAACAACAAATTTTAAATAATATTATTTTTAAAAAAAATGTATTCACCACCTGAGTCCCCTGCCTATTATAATACTCCCTCGGATGATGAATACGAAGGAGGAACAAACATCATTGACAATAATTCATCCTTCTCATCACTGGATAGCTATGGATCAAATCTTTCTAATAATCAATCTTTGGAATCACTATCGGATGAGAAAAAGAAAGCTTCATTAATTGATACGAAGATTGATTGGTTCGAATTTTTAGTCCATCCTAAAAAGCTTGATCAACATGTAGGTTCAAGTTAAATCTTCTTATTATAATTCACCAAGTTAGAGGATCTTCAAAAAGACAACAGTTTACAACCATCCGCTCTTGATTTAGCTATTACTTTTGTTGAACAATGTTTACCACCAACTGATTCTAAAACTCAACAAATTAATGACAGAACAAAAAGATATATATCCATAGTTACAAAAATAGCATTCAAATCAAACTTTACTTTGGAGGAAATTGAAACTAAATTTCCAATTCCATTCCAAAAACATATTATTCTTGGAACTCTTTTAAGAAAAAGAAAACATTCAGGAGTGCAAGGTATTGTACATACATCAAGTCAAGACAAATTATCGGAAATTGACCTGTCAAGAATTGATACAATTAATGAAAATTGTTTGGAAGACTTGGCTAGTTCATATATCGAAATTATTTATCATCGCTGGGTTATAAGATCAATTTCTAAAAGGTTACCTCTATGGTTTATTAAATCACCTTCTCTAGAAGGAACAGAATCTTACGATTTAGTACAATTAGGAGAAGAATCCCTTACAAGTTTGGAAAAATTAGTGGCTAGTGCAGAAAAAAATCCAAATATATTCGACAATTTAATTGACAAACCAGATTCTTTAGATAAGGTAGTATTTGGCATGTCTTTAATATTGGATATGGCAAATTATTACTTTTTCAGGGAAGATTTCCAAAACTCTTTCAAATATTTGAAATCTCTTCATGAAAAACTACTCAAATATTCAGACAAAAATTTTGAACCTTTAAAAGAGAGTTGCAACACGCTTATAATAGCATGCCAATCTGTAATTATGGCAAATAACCCTAGTGAAGGTTTACTTCTTCCTGAAAACAAAAAAACTCTCTTTTTCAGACAAATAGATGAGATTGTTAAGAGCTTAAATAATCAATCAGAAGTTAAGGCTGAACAATCACAATTACTAATAGAATTACTCATTCAAGATATTATGGAAAATCAATTAAGTAGAGAATATCGTATAAGCTTATGTTACAAGTTGATTGAGAAGGAAAATCTTTTTAAAAAGATCTTAGCATGTAATATTATTCAAGATATGGTAAAGATTATACAAGGCCATACTATTCAACAGGATATCGAAACAACTGGTTCATTTGATCAATCAAGTGTTAATGAAAAGTCTAAACATTCTATCATACCAGATGGTAATGAGGGAATTAATGTTTCAGTTCAAACCCATCTAGACCGATATGTCTTGAAACACAAGTTTGTTACTAGCCAACCTATAATACCAGTGTACATAATTTTATTCCTTAAAAGGCTAGAATACGAGTACAAGAAAAATGAGAGAAATAATGACTCTTTAGTATGGGACAGTAATATGAATTCTATTATTTCTGATTTTGTTTGTAGATTAGCTAAATATGTAAATCATCCAATTGTATATGCCACTTTACTGTCAGAGGGAGAAACTTATTTGAACTCAACCAACGAAAGTACACAAATATTTAAAAGTTTAATGTTAGAAAGTGTAGAAAAAACATATCACCTTAGTAACTTTGAAAATGTCTCCTCTTTAGAATATCAAGAGTATAACTATGGGTTACTTCCAGAAAATGTCCAACACAAACTGCTAACAGCCTGTTCTGAAAAAAAGACTGAAAACACCTCTTACTTTCAAAATTTGAAAACTTTGATTGTTAAAAAAAGAGTTTATGATTCTGCCCTCAAAGCTAATCATGTACTATTTTCTGATGATTTAGAGGAAGTTTTAAAACACGAGTCCACAAGCTTTGAGCCACTGAAGAGATTGAAAACAGAAACTAGCGATTACTTAGCATTGAGAGCTAGAAGTTTATTGTATCGCAATTGTTTCAATAGTCCAACAATAACTCATAGGGCAAAGACTTTTTTTGACGTTTCAATGACAATTGCTAGATTTAAAGATTTTGAAACATCTAAACGTATTGCATTTGACAAACTGTTACTCTCTCTTTCTGAAAAACCACACAATTATTTAATAATAGAGGAATATGCTACTCCAAGAATAGAAAGTAAGCAAATTGAAAGACCCTCACCACATATTGACTGTATGGAAGATTTCTCTGCTCTGTGTGAATTATGCAATTTACAAAAAAACCCAACTATAGATTCAATTAATATCAGTGAGAAATCAAAACCAGACTTATCTCATATTAATCTAGTATTCTTGGGAGAATTATTTAAAAATCTAATTAATTTAGGTGATTGGGCTTTTATTAGGGATTTCTTTAAACAGATACAAACAGTATATGAGCAAAATACATCTGATGATGTTCATATTGTTTTTTGCAGATTTGCAATACTAGTTGAATCATTAGCTTATCATATGCATGCACCAAGAAATGGGGCTCCTAAAAAAGTGTTCAAAGATTTGAAAGATGATATTTATAAGTTTGTGAATAACTTGATTTATTTACCAGATCAATATCATTACGAATCTGATAGTCTTAATTTTGAGGACGAGAATAGACTAAGATGGGATGACTTTCATTTACTCGTTTCAACAAACAATCTCAAGTTCCTAATGGATCTATCAGTAATGTTATCGTTTGTTTTAGTTTCAGTAAGAATGACTGTTGTAGGAAATAGATCCACATCTCCTCCAATGTTAAGAAATCCAACTCAACCAATAATGACAGGTCATTACAAGCATTTAGCAAAACTAATAATGCCTGAATATTTTTGTAGCTCTACAAAGAAAAATTGGTTACTTGGTAACGAAAAGTTTGTAGAAGATACCTTAATAATAATGCTTCAACATGTATTGGAGCGTGTAATTAATTTGCAAGAACAATCTTCAACCAAACCTATTAGTAGTTTCTACCTTTTTAAATGCTGTCTTGCTGACGTATATTTCGAAAAGGGTAAATTTAGAAGAGCTTTAGAATTGTATTTGGAATGTGGAGAAATGAGTTTCCCTCATTTCTATAAACCATCCAATGAGGAAGTTGTTGAAAGAATGTTTAGATGCCTAGTTGAGTTGGGAGAATACACAGCAGCAGCTGTTCTACATCAATTTGTTCACAGCACTTACGATAATGAAATTGAAAGTCAATCCAGAACACACGTTATTTCTGACAATTTCATTAACACTAACAACAGAATTGGTTATACAAAAGAAATAATTGATAATTTATACGAATCTAATGGTCTAAACGAGAGGTGGTTGTTGTATTTTTATGATCTATCCTATTTGGAATTGGTAGTCCATGTAGCACACCAGAAAGGAGAGTTTAGTAAGGAAGATTTGATAATTCAACACATCCAAAGAAGTGAAATTAATTCCAATAACAAAACAGAGCATAGAAAAGAATATATCCAAGCAATGAAGGAAACATTTTTACGAAGATTATATCTTCATATAACCACCTTCTTGAAAAATTAAATAGTAACCAAGTGGTAGCATGGAATAAATCTTATTATTTAAATAATTGAAAAACAAGAAAAAAATATTTATTGTTGCTGTTCACGAAAAAAATGAAAGTAAACTCGTACGCACCATCAACCGCGTTTAATTTCAACGCTCCCGTGGTTGGTGGCATTTCCACTACAACAGGTAATAGTGCCAATAATGTTTCGGGTGGAAATCTTTTTAATGGAAGTATCTTACCATCATCAACAAAAGAACAATTAATGGAATCCAAAAAATTAGTCAATCAAAATTTAGAAAAGGATAGCAAGTTTGTTGATATTTACGAACTTTCACAAAATCAAAACGATTCCTATGATGAAGTAACGTATCTTGAATTTTTAATAATTTTTAATTTTTATAGTTGTTCGTAAAGAAACAATTTGTAGCCCTTCCTGATCCAATCTTTGAAGAATATCGTAGACTTGAATACAAATGTTTCATGGGTATTTTCCCTGAAATACATAGAGCTTGGATTACTATTGACAACAAATTCTTCATATGGAGTTACTTGGATGGTAGTGATTTTAATGAATATGATGAGTTGGATCAAATAATTATTAGTGCCGGAATTGTGAAGCCAAAGCCTAATATTTTCAAAGATTATGTTAAATATTTACTAGTATTAGCAACACCAATAGAAATTGTTCTTGTAGCTCTTGCTTTTAACAATAATGATGTTTCCTCGCCAATTAATGGTACAGAGACAGAAAAACAACAACATCCTTCATTTGATTCACAAACAGGAAGTATTTATTCTGAAATGGAGCTTTTCCCAACAAATTATATCATCCCATCAGACAATGTAAACATGTTAAAAATTGTTGGAACAAAAAATGGAAGAATTTTCATGTGTGGAAAAGATGGATGTTTATATGAACTTACATATGAACCTGAGGAGGGCTGGTTTAAAAGCAAATGTAGAAAGCTGAACCATTCACAAAGTTTTGTTGGACTTTTAGTCCCTTCCTTCTTAAAGTTTACTCATGATGATCCTATTATTGATATTGTCGTAGATGACACAAGAAATATTCTTTATACTCTTTCAGATAATATGACCATTGAAGTTTATGATCTTGGAGAGAATGGGGATAGTATGAGAAAGGTTGTTAGTTATTCTAATTTACTTCAAGATATGATGAGAAAATTTCCAAATTATAATTGTAACTTGAATTCGCTCAAAATTATTTCAATTGCTCCAATATCTGAAAATGAATCAAAAGCTGTTCACTTGGTTGCCATTACTTCAAAGGGAGATAGAATATTTTTTACAACTGGCTACTCTCAAGATGGACTTTCCAATTCTGATAGACCTATTGGAATATCTCTTCTTCATATCAAATCAGTTTCATTTACTAGTAACACGATGAGTAATAACAAATTTATTCCTGGTGGATTACACAAAATTCATGAATGCTTCTATAAGGATGGTGTTTGCATTTTAGCTGATGAGCTTAGTAACCAAGTTGATTCACTTGTTTGTTTGTCAATGGAGAGAAAGTATGGAGAATATGGATTTGGTTTAAACGAAAATGTAACCACCAAGCATTTAGATAATGGTATGACACACTCTATTGCTGAAATTCCTTTGTACTTGGATCCTGTTTTGGTTTCATCCCAAAATAGTCTAAATGAACTTTCATTCCAACACATCAAACCACCAAGAGAGTTCGTTTGTTTAAGTAATAATGGAATGCATTTGTTGGTAAAGCTTAGACCTGTAGACTTTTTACAACAAATTCTCCAACAAAGTCAATCCGATAGCTTGTTAAATAATTTTTTTACAAAATATAGTGATGATGAAGCTTGTGCAATGTGTGTTATGCTAGCTTGCGCACCTCCAGCTTATAATAATATTACTGATCATGATCAACAACCAACTCTCCATGACGAAATGCTCATTAAGAGAGCCGAACAAGCTTTCTTTAAATATGGTGGACTTCCTAGATTAGAATCACAAGAAAGAAACATTACTAATAACACTATGGGTGGTCCTGTATCGGCAATAGATATCAAGTATAGTGCTCAACACAATGGTTTATATTTATATTTTACAAGATTAATGAGACCTCTATGGATTTCTCCTGTATTTAATAGCAGAGTAAGAGACAATGAAACGTTAATTACATCATTACGTTACTCTCCAAAACAGCTTAAATATGTGCAACAATGTCTCTTTGGTATTTATAATTTTTTGAAACGTAATCCCCAACTGCATGAAATACAATCTAATGTCAAAAAGTCAATCCAAGAAAAGGTTGTAGATTTATATAACACAAAGAAAGATGAAGAAGCCAAACGATTGGAACAAAGATCCATCCACAACTTGTATGTCTTACTCAAGAGATGCTACCAAGGATTGATTTTTTTATACTTTATGGATAAGTGTAAACTTGCTACATTATTCTCTTCGTACTCACATACTCGAATTTCTCAAATAGCCAGAATGCCGTTCTGTGATTTATTCTTGACATCAGAAGGCGAAAAGATGATGAAAGAAATGGTAAGAATGGTTGTGATGAGAAGTAAAGAGGTTGATGCCAAACAAAAAATATGTGAAGAACTCAAGAGTTGTGATGAGTTCTTTGATCCAAAGGATTTGGAGGAATATAAGGCATTGGATGCATTGGAAAAGGCTAAAATTAAGCACGATCAAGATTCTATGTTTGAATCACTTGAAATGTTTAAAAAGATTGCTGGTCATATTAATATTTTGGTTGTTTGTAAGGAATTCCAAAAACTTGGCTATTATACAGGTGCTGTTGAATTGGCATTAACAAGCGCTGAACAAAGGGATCCAAGCAACTTGGCCTTAGAATGGATAAAGGCAGGTAAACCAGCTCTTGACATGGCTGGTCAGCAAGCTTTCGCTGCTAGAAATGAATGTTATACATGTGCTTTGAGCTCCTTAGATTTGGCAGATAATGAGGAATCACCAATAATTGGTAATCAAATTGACAAGGAAACCAAATTCTCTGATATTCTGGAAAAAATGTCCAAATCAAAGGACTCTCTTTTCCATGACACTCTTTATCAATGGTTAATCGAGCACAATCTCTCTGAAAAGTTATTGAGTTTGAATACTCCATTTATTGAAAATTTCTTAATTAAGCAAAACAAGCATTATGAGGAGCTTTCTTCTTACTATTTTAATAATAGAAGGTATGATAAGGCAGCAAAGGTACTTCTTAAACTTGCTGAAACTAAAAGTGATGATGTTAACCTCGATGGAAGAATTCAACACCTCACCCATGCAATTAATTATGCCAAAGCAGCCCAAACACAGGATGATTTACTAAACAGCCTTCAAGATAAATTAGATGTAGCACTCATCCAACGAAGAGTTCTTAAGCAAATACAAGAAATCAACCATGACTCGAGTGATATTATTGCTGATTTGGAAAGCTCTCTCTTTGATATTAATACTCTTTATAATAAGTATGCAGAGCCTTTTGATTTGTTAGAGTCTAGACTTTGTATTCTTCACTGTGCAAAATATAAGAATCACGAGCTAATTCAAGATTTATGGAATGAATTGATTGATATCTCTATTAAAGAGAATAATCTTGAATCTAAGATTATAAGTTTAGGAAAGGAACTTACTGGTATTTACTTCCCTCTTGAATTTATTTGTGGCCAATTAGAAAAGAGAACATTGGATTCAAATTTTGAAGCTGGTTGGGTGGTTAAACTAATGAGAGATAAAGTTGGTGTGAAATACACCAACTTGTACAATGCATACCACAACTTGTATATTTTACTTAGTCCAACCAAGTCAAAAGTTGGAAAGGATGTAAGCATGTTCTATAATCAAGGTAGATTCGAAAATCTTCCAGACACAAAAGAAATGGTGCTCAGAATTTTAGAAAATATTGCAAAGATTCTTGGTGATTGGCTAGGCGAAATTAACACACCATACGATTTGCAATACGTCCAAACTTTCTCATTGGGAGATATCAAGAAAGATGTTAATGAATATATTTCAGCCTTGAATTCATTCTCAAAGAGTTCTAAAACTGATGAAATCAAAAAGAATTTAAAGAACATTGTCAATAGTATTTAATAAATTAACGGAAACTTTCCCGCCTTTTGAATATAATTAAACAAAAAAAATGGAATTGTTCGACATTGAAGAAGCCATAATGAACCACCAAACCAAGAGTATTTCGGATCATGATCAAGTAACAATAGAAAAACCATCAAACACAAGTAATCACACACAAGATGAACAAGCAGAAAATCACACACCACTAATTTTACATGATCCGCTTACCCACTCCGTTGAGCATAACAACTCGGATACAATGAACACTTCATTAACGGATGAACCAATGGAACCTGTCACAAATAGTAACATTGAAAAGCAAACATCTTGTTCATCTCCTTCTATTCCCACATCAATAACTAATAATTCTATGTCTGCATCACCTTCAGAACAGCTAAACACTTCTTTTGAACAAATTAGACAACCGGAAGAGCAACAATTGCATCGTTTTGCAGAGGACAAAGAAGAACTAGGAAGATATCACTCCCTGAAGCAAGCCATTGATACCATGTTCAAAAATGTAATGAATATGCGGGGCACTAATGTTCAATCACATAGAAATGAGACCCCTTTTGATATTGCTGTATCTCAATTCCCCAAACAATTTCTTCAAAAATACGAAAGTGCAATGCTAGAAGTTTTCATAGCAATGCAAAAACGAGAATCAGAAGGTTTCCTGGAAGAATGTAGCCATTACTTGAAAGAAAGAGGGGTCAGACAAAAACTGAATGCTCTAGATCGAACACATAAATTGAGTGATTGTATAGTTTATATGAAAAGAGGCACAGTCCTTAGCCAAACGGAATCTAGTTACGTTGTTTTATCAAAAGAGTTGGAAGATGAAAATTTAATGAAGAAAAAAACCTGTCTTTCCCAATTACAAGATTACCTCCAAATCAAGAAGCAATTTCTACAAGAAATACAAAACCATAACAATCACGTAAGGCATATGAATGAGGAACTAAGGAAAAAGAATGATTTCCTTATGGAATGTATTCAAACCAGCCTATTACCCGATCTGAAATCGAAACTTTCTCCAATACTCTCTTCATGCGAAAACATAGATGATTATTGCAATAGAGCACAATCACAACAATCCTCATACAACTAGTTGGAGAAACTATATAGTGTCACTTTATTGGAAATTTACGGATATCTCAGTATTGTTTTCCATAAATACAAACTCTGCAATGTAATAAATAGCATGAGGAGAAATTGTGTGATTTTTCCCAATTCTTTCTTTAAAGTAAAATCCTTCGATGAACCAATCAAACACATTATCTACCATAAAGCCAAAATTGTCGTTCAAGTCGTACAACTTTTGTGGTTCAGGGAAATGAAAAAGTGCTTTTGGATTTTTGCATACAGTCCTTGCCTCCACTACCTTATCAAAAAGGGAATAGAATTTAATTCTTTCTGTCTCTGTAGTATCACATTTTACATTAAATACAATCTTTCCTTGATTTTCATCCTCCATCATATCTGAGTCTTGTCTTATTATGTGAAATTGGTAATAGGTTATTGGAGCTTTAAATATATGGTCAACTGTCACATGTCGTTTCTGTTCATAGAATAGAATGCTTCCATGTTTGTTAATAAATAACTGCTTGGGTATTTGATCAGGTAATTGGATCGGTATTTTTTCCATTGAAACAGAGATGGTTTTGTTCGTAGAGAATATTGGAAGACTAAGGCTCATACTTTTGTTAGATTTCTTTAAAATGTTTCCATATGCGCGAGAAATGAGCTCAGAACTACTAGTAGTTCCTACATTTTTGAATTGAGTGTTCAACTGATTTACCCATTTTTTTCTTTTTTCGGCTTGTATTGGATCAAATTTTTGGTTCTTTTCTAAGTTAACTCTAATTTTGTTGTTTTCTATTTGTATGTTTAGAGCAATCTCATTATAATATCTGTTCTCCTCGGTTTCGAATATCTCATCTTTAGTTAGACGAGAAGTGTGCGTCTTAGTAGCTCTGAGTTTAATAGAAGGAGCTCTTGGTTTTTGTAGTGTTGGAGGGATATATACAGTTATATCAGAATCCATTCCACCTATTTCATTTGAAAATGTACCATCATCAATATTTTGAGGTTCTGTAGGTTGAATGGATCCTTGGATTGGTGGATTGGTGGTTGTAAGCACATGAAGATCTTCAAATACTATATTCATACTGGCATGATTATCTGTATCTATCTGTTCATGTGCTGAGTTTTGTACAACGTTAGAAGATGTTTCTTCAATAAGAATAGGTGCAACTTCAGTTTCTTTCTTACGTTTTGGAATTTTCACGCTTGCCAAATCTACTGTTTCATCTGTATGTTGTGATATGATGGTTGGAATTTTGATAATACACGACAAATTTGAATTTTCATTTTCTATTGCTTTTTTCTTTTCCTCTTTCTTTTTTTCCTTTTTTTCCTTTTTTTCTTTCTTTTCTTTTTTCTCTTCTTTCTTTTTCTCCTTCTTTTCTTTCTTCTCTTTCTTCTCTTTTTTTTCTTTCTTTTCTTTCTTTTCTTTTTTCTCCTCTTTTCTATCTTCTCTTTTTGATTTATCTTCCTTCATTTTCTTATCATCCTTAACTTTATCTTCTCCTTTCTTTTTAATAGATGGCAGTGGAATGTCCATAGAAGGAGAAAAAATACCAATAGGACCCTCGGATGATGTGCTGGGTTGTATTGGTTGAGTACTTGGATATATTGAGGTACTACTTGGAGGTAGAGGTGGAGGAAGTACCAATTGCATTGGTTGAACTGTTTGAGTACTTGGGTATGTTGATGGAGGAGATTGCACAGTTGAAGGAGTTGGGTTTCAGGAACCTCTCGCTGAAGTGTATTATTCTCTAAATTATTTTCCAAAAAAACTGGAGAAGGAGGTTTGATTTCAGGTTTGGTTTTCTTTGCTATTTTTGGAATGTCATGAAAGGCTGTTGTCTGTATTAATACACTTGTAGATGATTTAACATCTGTAATTGGATTAGGGAATTTTTCAGACTCATTAATAGGAGTCTCTAATATACGAGTGGTGTTTAGCTCATTAACAGGCACAGGGGGGATACTGTCTTTTGGTGACTGTTTTCTGTTTGACTTTATCTCATTGTCTGAATCAGAAGATTCTGTTTCTTCATCCTCCGAGTTAATAATTTTTTTGGACAATGGTCTAGATTCTCTTGGTTCTTCCTTTTCAATAGTAGGTTGGGAAACTGTTGGGGGTGTAATCGAAACAGGAATTTCGTATGACATAGTTCCCGGAGATAGTTCAGTAATCTTCTTTGTGTGCAATAAACTTTCAACATCGGCCATAAATTTTATCATTGCTTTTGTTGCCTTTGTGGTTTTTTTTGTTGTTACTTTTTCCACTTCATGTTTTACACATTTAGTTATGTGCGATAAATCTGATATCAGTGCATCCACATTCCTATAGAAATGACTCTGTAGTCTACCAGATACAGTAGCAAATAGCATTGGATGGGGAGTATTTTGAAGAAATGGAAGGTTTGAGCATTCAGAATTTGTGAAATCTGTTAAAATTTGTGCTACTTTTGTTTCAAGTGTAGGATCTATTTTTGGTAGTACTTTTTTCGCTTCTTCTTCTACTTCTTTGATTTCCCAAACACTAATATCTTCCGTGTCATTTGTATCCCATGAGATGTGCAAGGTTTCAAATAGGCAATGAGGTTCATTAGGTTTAGTTTTGATCTCTTGAATTAAACCAGTGTAGGGAATTGGTAGCTTTGTAGTGGCATCAATAAAATCCATAGTTATTGACATTTTATCTCTGAGTGATTTATAGTATTGTGCTGATTTCAAATAGTGTTCGTATGTGATAATGAATGGCCTACAATCCGAATAGCATAAATCAAAATTAAGAGTATCACCAACCTTTACCGAGTAAGGCAAAGTACTGTTGAGAATTTCCTCTTTCATGATTTCTTTTACTGTGAGTGTTAGAGTAAAAAAATTAAATCTACTTGGTTTTAATCCATTTTGTGACTTTGATATTAAACTATCCAATTCAGTGATGAAAACATTCTTGTATTCGATTTTGGATATGATACACCTAGTAGAAGGGGGAAATTTAGATACATCCCTCTTAAATCCATTAGGTGTTTGTTTAGTTTGAAAATATTTTAGAAAAAATGGAAGTACAGTGTGTTTTGTAACACTTTCACAATAGGAGATATACCCATCCCTAATGAAAACAATATCATCACCCAATTGTGGGACATAGAATTGAGTAGGTTTGTAGTCTGTTTCAAATGCAATATGAACAGATTGCTCCAAAGTTTGTTTAAAGTCATCAAAATAAGTGTCATAATCCTTATTAGCTTCCTCCTTCACTGAGAGAGTTCCGTTTTTATACTCATAAACTTGTTTCGATTTAGATCTTGTAGTTTTTGTTTTTTTTCTTGTGTTTTCACTTTGTACGTGTTCATTGTCACTATCATCGGTTGATTCCGATCCCGTACTTTTTGATGGTTGTTTTCTCTTCATTTTTTTAATTATTAATAATATTCAAAAATAATATTCTGATGATATTAAAATTTTCCAACATACAACAAATTCCATACAACAAAAAAAATATCATGCCTGCTGTAAAAATTCAAGAAGTCACTTCTACTGAAAAAACTCTAAGAGTAGCTGCACACTCACATATTACAGGTAAGTCTGACTATAGTGTTCATATTTTGTATTGATCATCAAAAGGACTCGGTCTTGACCAAACAAACGGAAATGTATTGGAGGATATTACTGCAGGTTTAGTTGGACAAAAACAAGCAAGAGAAGCTGCTGGTATTGTTGTAGATTTAATTAAATCCAAAAAGATGGCCGGAAGAGCCTTGTTATTAGCAGGCCCACCTGGGACAGGTAAGTACAACACAGTAATACCGTTTACTATTATGGCTAATTAGGTAAGACAGCTATTTCCCTCGCAATTTCACAAGAGCTTGGAAAGAAAGTACCTTTTTGTCCTATGGTAGGATCTGAAGTTTATTCTTCAGAAGTAAAAAAGACTGAAATTCTTATGGAAAATTTTAGAAGAAGTATAGGAATTAGAATAAAAGAACAAAAAGAAGTATACGAAGGTGTGGTGATTCAATTGACACCTGAGGAAGCAGAAGACGAATTAAGTACAAACTACGGAAGCAAGGTGATAAAACATGTATTAATTGGTTTGAAGACTACTAAGGGAACCAAAACACTAAGATTAGATCCATCTATCTATGAATCAATTCAAAAAGAAAAGGTTCAAATTGGTGATGTCATATATATTGAAGCAAACAGTGGTGCTGTGAAACGTGTTGGTAGATCTGATGAATATATTTCTGAACATGATTTAGAAGCTGAGGAGTATGTTCCAATTCCAAAGGGTGACGTGCATAAGAAGAAAGATGTTGTCCAAGATGTCACTCTACATGATTTGGATGTTGCAAATGCAAGACCGCAAGGAGGACACGATATGTTTAGCGTAATGAACTCTATGATGAAACCTAAAAAAACAGAAATTACCGAAAAATTGAGAAATGAGGTCAACAAAATTGTAAACAAGTATATTGATCAAGGAGTAGCTGAGTTAGTTCCAGGTGTTTTATTTATTGATGAGGTTCACATGTTGGATGTAGAATGCTTTACTTATTTGAATAGAGCATTGGAATCAACACTGGCACCAATAGTCATCTTTGCTACAAATAGAGGAAATTCCAAGATTAGAGGAACAGAAATAATTTCACCACATGGTATTCCAGTTGACTTGTTAGATAGACTTTTAATTATCAAGACATCTCCCTACACTCTCGAAGAGGTAGTCCAAATTGTTGCAATCAGAGCAAAGACTGAGGGTATTGTTTTAGCACCTGGTACTTTGGATGAATTAGGAAGAATTGGTGATAGAAGTTCATTAAGATATGCTGCTCAACTGTTGACACCTGCCCATATTTTGGCCAGAACTAACGGTAGAGAGGAAGTTACAATTGAGGATATTGCTGAGGTTAGTGATATGTTCTTTGATGCTAAGACGAGTGCTGCTCACCTTTCTGAACACGGAAGTGAATATATCGATCACCAAAAGTAAACTTTATCACTTTTTAAACGATTTTTGTTTTTCTATCTTTGATAATTGCAAAGCTTCTTGAATACTTTTTTCCAATTTTCCAATTTCACTTTCTACTTCATTGGCAAAATTTAGAAGCTCGTTTAGGTTTTTGTTGTCTATCAATTCCTCAGAAACTTCTCTACATTCTGTGCAGTGGTAATGGAATGAATTGGTGGCATGATCCAATTTTTTGACTTTGTCGATACTGCAACATTTTGTGCAAAAGGCATGCCCACATGTAAATATCTTGGGTCGAAGCGTTGGTTCTTTGCAATGACAACACTTAGTATATCTCTCAACACCTTCGTAGAGCACCTTAATTCTGAATGCCACCCTCTCAGAAGAAGCAACCTTTTGAGCTAAGGAATCATAAATTTTTCTCAGATAATCATTACGATTTCTAAGTTCGTATAAAAGATGCGAATCAACTTGAGTAGGCGTTGTAATACTTTCTTCCGCATTGACTTGACTTAGTCCCTGAAGCACTTGTTTTTCTTGTTGGTTTTTGATTAAAGAGTTGTCGAAAAACATGAAAGGATTCTTTTGGTGTGGAGAAGTTTGGGCAGTACCCTTACTTTTTTGATATTCATATAATTGATCTCTCAACTGAAAAAATATAACTTCTCGATCAGTTATTATGTACTTACGTAAGATACAGTGTCTCTAGTTCTAGATAAATTTTCATGAAGCTCTTTGTTAACCATAAACATTTCAAAAAGAGCTTTTTCATTCAAGGTCCCATCTTCATTAAAGAAGTGTTTAATGAAATCAGCCATTAAATCCTGTTTTTCTTTGTTGGATAATTTGTCATCATTCGACATTATTTTAGAAAGGGTTTGTTCTGCAGTTTTTGCAGGTCTTCCATTAATCATTTTATCCATTTCTTTCTTCATGGATTCATATCTTTCTTTATACATAGACATTTCATTAATTAAATTACTGGCATCATCATATTTTTTCCTCAGATCTGCCATTTGTTCTTTTAATTTCTTCTTTATATCAGTAATTCAGACCTCGTTCAACATACCTCTAGTTGTCTTCTTATTTGTTTATCTTTAATAAAATTATTAACTATATTATCAGATCTATCTTCCTTTACTCCAATAAGCTCGCTCGAATACTTTTTCATTATGTTCTCAATTTCTTTTCTCATACTTAATTGAATCTTTTTAACTTTTTCTTTAAAAGCTGATGTAACTTTGAATATAATATCATTAGTCACCTTAACGTGCTCCTCAATAGTTATTGTTTCTTGGCCTTTTCTTTTTGCCTTTTCTTCCTTCAGATTCAAATAGTAGGAAGTCCTTAATGAGTCATAAATTAATTGTTCAGTTTCAGAATTAGGATTGAAATCATTATCCTCATCCTTTTCATCATTTAAAGATATTGTATGAAATTTTGAGGACATATTGTCATCCAGCTTGGAGCTAAAACTATTAGAAGCTTCCTCCATAAAGTTTCTTATCTTCTTCCTTGCTGTTGATGGAAGAGATTTGGAGCTAGGAATATTTTTAAGACCACTATATCTCCTGGTAGCACCAGCACTAGCAACTCTGTTGAAAGATGATCTTGCAAAAACAGCGTCAGATCTGGAAGTTAAGGTTACTGATCGTGTGAGATCTTCTTCACTTTTTACCCAATTTACCCTTACACTGTTCAAACTATTTCCAAATGCATCTGTTGTTAACATGTCTAGTGTATCAAGAGGTAACTGGGGTATATGGAGCTTGGAACTGAGAGCTCCAAGCTCTTTGGCAAAAGGTGCTTGTACACTTTTTGGCAAGACATCCAATCCTGCAGATGGGTCCACAGTTGTGGTAAAAACTTGTTGATTGTAAACTTGTTGCTCACTTCTGACAGTGGGAGAGAGAGGAGGCCTTTCTACAAAACCTCCTCCCTTTGCATTCTTATCTTTTTCAGGATTGTGTCTCAACATTGGAAATCGTTTTAGAAGGAATTTTTGTGTATTGATTGGTCTAGAAATGTTAATCATGTCTTCGCTAACTATTTTCCTATCGACATCCGTCAATGAGGGTGGGTACAAATCGAAAAGTGCCATTTTGTCCCTCACACCTATTGTTCTCTGTTTCTTTTCTTTCAAGTATGGTCGTTCCTTAAAAACAGGCCTATTAGGCACAGTGGTTGGTTGAACATTTTCCTTACACAGTTCTTCAGTGGGACCAATTGAAGCATCTTGTTGGGAGAAGGTTTGATTGGATTGCTCGCTTAACGTATTGAAGGTATCAGAAGAAGAGGTTGGAGTTTGTGCGGGGGATGGTATAGAGAGCCTTACACTATTAATTTGATGAAGATTGAGAGGGGGTACTCCAACTTTTGCTTGATGAGGTGTAGATCCCGAAGATGATGAAACTACAACAGACATGACCAGTAGGTGTCGATGAAGATGTAGAGGACTATCCTTATCCCAATTTTATCTTTTTTTTGAAATGAACAGTTTTTGAAAGAGTAATCTTGGCGCCTTTTTAATAAAAAAAATGAAGAGAGAAGAAACAACCATCGAGAGACGTCTAACCCAGCTGAAAACGCATCTGATCGGGTTTGACAATGATCATGTTGAGATTAATTCAACAAGCAATACCGATCCTAACAGCATTGTTTTTAATGCCAGACCAATAGAAAATGATGATTTTGACAAGGGATATTTGCAATTACTTTCGCAACTCACTTCTGTTGGTGATATTTCAAAGGAGGCTTTCACACATCGTTTATCAAAAATGGACAACGATGTTTATAGAATAGTCGTGATTGAAGATCCTACTTCAAAAAAGATTGTTGCTGCAGCAACAGTTTTTGTGGAATTGAAATTTGTACACAATTGTGGAAAAGTTGGCCATATCGAGGATGTAGTTGTAGATTCTTCTGTAAGAGGTCAGTATTTGGGTGTTAAAGTCATTGAGGCATGTAAGCAATTTGCCAAAGAAAAGGGTTGTTACAAAACCATATTGGACTGCTCTGAAAGGAATGTTTCATTCTATGAGAGATGTGGATTTAAGAAAAAGGAATTGCAAATGAGATTTGATCACGAATAAAAGAGAATATTAACCATCCAAAAACTTCTTTACTTTCTAATCTTTTTCAAATTTTTACATAATGATGTTAAATACTTGTCAGCATTTTGGGTAACCCTACAAGACCGTAAATTAATTATTTCAAGATTTGGACAACAGTTGGCAATAATTTTGACTTCCTTATCTGTTACAGAGTGTACATTTTCTAGATTAATATGTTTTACAAACTTTCCTACATTCTTTTTCCAAGATAGAACCTCTTGTTTGAATTTCTCTTGGGCAGCACTCACACTTTCTGCTTCTTCAGGATAGAATTTTCTGAAGAAATCATTAGTATTAGAAAAGAACATTGTTATTCTCTTTTCTCCATAGTATTGTTTCCAACAATCTTCATGTTGGGAAAAAGATGGACAATGCATACCTGAAGCCTCAAATTCCACTTTGTATCTAATAAAGTATAAGATGTCGAATAAAATATCACAATCATTAAGGAATGACAAATCCATCTCCCATTGAGACCATTCAAGGAGACTATATTTGTTGAGGGATGACCTAACCAATCTTACAGTAAGAGAATAAATGTCTGGTTCTAAAGCTCTACTACATAGCAGGTAAATACATGGCAAATCATTTTCAGAGGCAAACTTTTGGAGTATGTTTAAATGAACTTCTCCTTGCTCAATTTGCACTTGTAAGTCAATAAGGAAGGAAGATGCAGATTTAGCTTTCAAGTAATTTACAAATATTTCAACAATATCCCAAGGATAATCAAATGATAGGGTATTGGACAGTGTTTTTGATGAGTAGGGTTTAAACCTCCATTGATTGGTTTCATTGATTGAGACTTCAAATGGAACTTTCTCTATTGAGAGCACAGTAATAAAGGTTGAAGATTTTTCAAACCCCTTTTCTTGTTTTGAAATATTGGCTGTATGCATAATAGTTGGTAAATGAATTATTGGGACTTGTGCAAGTGTTGGTTGCTGATTACTTATTTTCATTCTTTCCATTGTTTTCTTCATAGAGTCTAATAATCTATTGTATTCATTTCTTGATGTTGTAATCATTGAATTAATATCAGATTCTTCTAAGTGTCCACCAATCTCAACTTTCTCATCAAAGAGGTGACTAATTTTATCGAGATACTTGGTATTGTTACAACACTTCTCAAGAATTTTCTCTGACTCCACCAAAGACAATTCATACTGCTCCATATCCAACACCAAATCAAAAGTATCCTGTGCAGAAGTTGCAGAGTTTAACATGGCTAATGCATTTTCCATTGACGAGTGAAATAAAGAAACAGAGTTTCTTATAATTCCATCATAGGCTGCTCCAGCTTCTGAAACGGCTTGCTTCAAAAATTCACTGTCTTGCTCTGAGTTTTCTGTAACTTCTTGGAACATGTTTAAATATGTAAGTTGGTAAAATTCTCTTTCTTCTCTAAAGATTTCAATATAGGAATCAGCCTCTTCAAAGAGAGTAACTGAGTCTTTAACCTCTTCCAATGTCTCTACAACACCAATCATTTCTTCTACAACATCAAATACAACCAATTGTTCACTCCAATCAATTGCTCTCATCAAAGATAACTCAATTATTTCTCCAACAATGTTTGAACATACGTCCTTAGATGTCGGTTTGAGTACTGCATCAATATCAATAAAATTATCAAGAGTGCATGGAAGAACGTATTCTTTTGTTACTTGATTTGTTTTCACAGTATTTGTTTGTCCAATAGTTTTCTTGGCTATGTTTGGTGTTGACGAAACTTTAATGCTTCTATTTGCCCTATTTGTCTTTTTGAATATAGTGTCACTAATTGAATCCCAAGCATTTGGATCATTGAATGTATATTTTTGGGAAAGACTGATAATAAGAGATTTGAGTTCTACATTCAAACCAGAAACATTTTTAGCTGCATCCTTAACACTAACCGATATATTTTCAGGTGTTGCTGTTGTACAAGTACTAGTTATTGAATAGCTTCCTTTCATTGACCAATGCAATATTCTATTAGACCATCTAAAAGGAGACCATGTCTTGTGGGCTCTGAGAACCATATTTTGTTTATCATTCGATCCTTGCCTAGCTATTTCGTCAATGGTCGAGCCATCGTATTCATTTACAAACTTGTTAACATTTGCTTTATAGAGTGAAGATACCAACTCTACAAAGCAATATGAATTCAAGTTTTCAAAAGTATTAAAGGATCTCCACATGTACTTTCCTGCCCATGTATCGAGCACATCTTCGTTTTCAACTTGTTCACAATAAACAATAAGAAATATTCTGTTTGTAGTGTCCATTGGAATAAATTCCAAATCATAAAGAGATCCTAAACTTTCAATACCAAGAGATGATTTCAACTCAAGCATTCCTCGACAGAATTTTTGTTCGAATTTTTCGTATTGGTCAATATTGGTCTCTAAATTGACTTGATTTTGTGGGTCTTTTTCAACTGGATAACCAATTTTCTCTCTTAATCTAATACTTTGTATCCATTCCCATTTTTGTCTGTCTATTAATCCTTTTGAAAGTTTAACATGTGGTATCATCATTCTCTTGTTTTCCTCAACTAGTAACCTAATATTATTTTTTGGTGTCCAACACCATCTCAGGTAACACAAATATAAACCTTCATCTAGAGGCTTTGTGCTTGCTTGAAATTGTTTGGAAAAACTTATTATATTTTCAACAAATCTTGGTCCATAATAGGTACTAGATAGTCTCTCGATTCTTTCATTAAAATGATTTATAATTCCTAGACCTTGATATAATCTGTGTTCAAAAACCGATCTTTCTTCCCATAAGTAATCCTTCACGTTAAATGAAGATCTGTCTTCAATATATTTGCAACTGATCAACATGGCTACTTTTGATTCCTTAATATCAACAATTCTATCATACAATAAACCAAGATCACAATTAAATAAGCCTTTCAGCTTTTTGGTAGCTCTAATCATGTCATATTTTAGATTTGGAAACATATTTTCTGGTGGATCTTCTAAGTTGGAAATGTGTTCAGACCAATTTTTTCCTAGATCTAGGAGCCACTGATAGTCTGAACAGTCTGTGTTTAAACTTGAAACTGTTGTATATGGATATCTGAGCTTCTCAGAAGGAAGCATGTTGCAGTTATCCATCAAAATATGTGTGTCAGTATAAAAAAGCATTCCAAAAACAATATCAATGGTAGGACCGTCCAAGAACTCTGGAGGAAATGGTACATCAGGTAGTTTTCCCCTTCCTTGCCAGTTATCCAAAATAGGCATTAAAAGTGGTGTTTGGTCAATTAATAGTTCAGTTTTTTCCAATGTTTCACCGTCTTTCATATTTCCAATCAAAAGTGATAGTTTGTCTCGTATTTTAAGTTCAAAACCCCCATCACTTCTAACAGGACAAATAACTGATTCGTTAAACATATCCAGTATTAAAGAAATTTCCTTTTCGTCATTAGGGTTTGTATTGTCCAATCTTAAGCAAAGTGATTGTAGTAAAGCCTTACGATTTTGAGACTTTCTTATCATAGTTCTTAGATTGATCAAATCGTCTAAGGATATTCTTTTAGTATCAAAAGCGATTGATAGCAAATTCTGGACATCTTCGGGATTAAAGGATGATGGACAAGTTGACTCAGCAAATTCAACACTTGCAAGTCTCATATTCAAAATATCTTCATCTGATTCATTTTCATGGATTTTTGAAAACGCCAAATTAAGTCCTTTCTGAAACTTTTTCAAAGATTTTTGGTTCATTATAAAGATCTCCTTATCTCCATCAATATTAAGTTCAAATTTGACATTATTTCCTGATTCTAATACCTTAATGGAAAAACTGTCAGCAAGAGAATAACTTTTTACCACTGATCTGGCTGTTCCTGAAAATGATAGCCCTGTTCTAGGGTTGTTAAGTGTCACTACAATATATGATCCACACCAATCTCTAGCAATCACTAAAACTACATTGTCCTTTTTCTTTTTCGTAGTTTGGCCTGTTAAAATACCTTCAACTGCTACTAATACTTTTACATCACCCATACCAACACCAGTGAAAATACTACTTTCAATAGATGCCTCCAACTCTCCTCTTTTTTGTTTAACTGGCACATCTTCCTGTTGAATAATAGAATCTCGTTTTAAGAATAAGGTACCTCTCATTGATCTGTTTCTACTGGTAGGTGTGGTTGGAGATGGGGAAGTAGGTTCCATAGTAGTGACCTTTTCGAATTTAATCTTATTCTTTGTGTCTGAATTTGTTGAATCAGCAACAGACACAATATTCGAAACAGCAAAATCTGCAAATACATCATCTTGATCAACAGTATCCTGATCGCTTGATGTACTTGTAAAAGATCCCTTGGATATTTCTCCCTTTTCGGTAATATCTTTGTTTGATGCAAAAGAGCCCTTAGATATTTCCCCCAACACTCCAACAAAAGAACCTTTCCTTGATCCAAATATTTTTGATTTTAAAGTTTTGAAATTTGTCTTTTCTTTTGGAATGGGTATGTCTGTTTTTTTGTCTAGTGATCGCCTATTTACATCCACTGTTTCGGATTGTGGTGGTGTTGTAACTTTTGGTGAGGAATCACCCTCTGTTTGATTACTACCAACAAAAGATGTCGATTTTTGAGATGTTATTGGTGTATTAGGAGGAGTGTCTGAAGAGTTTGAGGAATTGGTTGCCTTATTATTTTCATTTGATGATGACGGTTGTGAAGGAAGATCATTACTGTTATCATTATTAGAGTCCAAATCCTCATTTTGCATGTATTCTTCAGTTATTTTTGCCACTAAATCAAAATCCATATCAGGTAACTCATACAAAATCTTATTATAAGTTTTGTTAATGTAATATTTTGTTTGTTTCACTTCATCAATACATTCCTTATAAACAAATCTAAGGAATTAATAGAACTATTCATAGGAAGACTTACTCAATGTCATTGATTGTTTTTCCTTTGGGGAAATAAAGTACATTTCCTGTTTGTTCATCAACATGCCTTACAAATCCTTCCATCTACCTTATTTCAATTGTTTGTAACAAATAGAGAGGTAATTTTTTTAATGGGGAGAATGAATTAAAATTAAAATAATAAATAATTAAAAAATGTCTTTCTTCTCCTCGCACTTGTTTTCTCATTGTATCAACACACTTTCATATAGTACATATTATCGGAATATTTGTTGTGTTGGCACTTTTGATTTGAATAATTGGTATCATGGAGGAGAAATTAATGTGTGTAAAATATCAAAAGAATTCGATCGGCCAACCATAAAATTATTGGCTTGTCTTGATAACAAGATTGGTATTCATAAATTGGTCTGGTCAGAGATATTTAAAGAATTAATTACCACAGCAAACCATGACGGAAGTAAGTTACTTTACAGCAAAGTGCACGCTAAATGGTTTTACCAATTTTTTTAGGTATTTCATTGTGGAATTTGAACGAAACTAAAAAGATTAGCACAACATTGGTAGATAAAGGGTACAATATCACATGTGTTGACTGGAATAATTTTAATGATTCTTCAACTTTAATTTTAATAGGTTCCTCCTCTTCAAGAATTAAACTGTTCGATTCCAGAAACCTAGAATATGTGGTTCAACAATTTAGTGAACATTCAAAAATTATTAATGATATCAAGTAAGTGGATCTTATTTGAAATCAATATAATGAATTACAGATGGAATAATAATAACAAGGATGAATTTGCCAGTGTGAGTGGAGATGGTCTAGTCAAAATTTGGGATAAAAGAGTAAAGAGCAGTGTGATCACCTTATTAGACAAGGAACAGGGTGTGATTCCAGTTACATCTTGTGATTGGAACAAGGAGAGTGATTGGATACTCGCTGTGGGAAATGAGAATGGTCAATTAGTTATTTGGGATACAAGAAATGACTTGCAACCCCTTCAAAGGAGACAAGCTCATTCTTTTAAAATCAATAGTATATCATTTGATACTGTAGATACTAGTCGAGTCATGACTGGTTCTAATGATCATGTATTGAGGATATGGAATTTTTCAAAAAATCAACAAGGAATCTATCTTTCACAAGAGCATAAAATTCATAGAGACATTGTCAAAACTGCTGAATGGAATATTCATAGTCCAGATGTTGTTACATCTGCAGGATATGATCAAAACATAATTACTATTCCTCTATTTAACATGACACAGGTGAAAGAGTATGAATTGGAAGGAACACTTGTGGTATGTTTTCAACATATTTAATTTAATTTAAAATTTTAAAAAAGACTGAGAAAACAAGAAACATAACTGCTTCTAAATTGTAAAACAAAGGTAAATTTCTTCAATTTCTTTTAAATTGACTATTAATAATATTTGATTAAAGATAAAAAATGAGCGAACAACTTAAGAGAAAGGAACCAAGCAAACCAACAACACCAGCCAAGAGATACAAAAAACAATATATTCCTTTAGAGGGTATTGTTGACGCATCACAAGCCGACAAACAACAAATTTGGTTGGTAAAAATACCAGACTTTATCGATCTTGATAAATACAAGGATGAGGAAACTATTGGTTCCGTTATAATAGAAAAAAATACAACAAGTAATTCGGAAGCCAAATGTTCACTTCACATTGAACCTCCTGCAGGAGGAGAAGCACTTACAGTGAGTGACTTTGATTTAATAATGAACAAGAAGAAAACTCCTATGTATGTGTTTGGTATGACTAAACTAACAGAGGAAGAAACACAAGAGAGAGAAAGACTAAGACAAAGGAAAAAAAGTGAACCTCTTTTGGAATTGAAGTATATTGATGACACTAAAATTAATATTGCTGGACATATTGATCAATCATGTAATGCCGTTGTGAAATTTGGACAAGCCTATGGACAATTATCTAAAAATCGTGTATTACAATCCAACCAGAAAGAAAAAAAGGCAGTGCAAGTTGCTGAATCTCAATCCACCAAAAAGAGCGTTAACCTTTTGGATGCATATAGAGATGGAAAGAAGGATGATACACCTAGAGACAATCGTGTCAGGGAAGATGGTGAAAAAATCAAAGCAAAAATTTTCTCTCTCTACAAGGAAAGACAATATTGGAAAATGGAAGAACTTGCAAATATTACAGACCAACCTACACAACATGTCAAAACCATTTTGAGCTCTATTTGTGTCTACAACAAGTCAGGTGAATACAAAGGTTACTATCAATTAAAACCAGAATATGCAATTGATGAATCAAAAAAAATTGGTACTCACGATTTGGGAGAAGAAGAAGAATGGGAATAGAATATTTTGTAAATAAACTCTTTGTAAACATTCTCCCATTATTTAAACGGTATCCGTCAAATTTAATTATGTGAAAAAAAGATATCCGTTATTCATAATTGTGTTAAAAAATGTCATCATCATCTGTTCAACAAGGTTTGTAGCTTCTCTTAGGATCCTGTGAACACAAAATTAAACACTCATTAAAGGCTCGGAATATTGGCCTCATGTAAAAGGTTTTTTAGCAGGAGTGAGTAGTGGTGTTGCAAAGTTAGTTGTTGGTCATCCGTTCGAGTAAGTATTGATTTCCAAAATATTATTAAATAATATCTTGTTTTTAGTACTGTCAAAGGTTTGTTAATATTTAAAGGTGGTGTTAATGTGGACATTAAAATATAGTTAGATTACAAACAGAGGGATATCATGGTAAATTCTCTGGTCCTATTGATTGTCTTGTTCAAACTGCCAAGAAAGAAGGAGTGAAAGGTCTTTATAAAGGTGCATTGGTTCCTTTGTTTGGCTGGTCAATTATGGATAGTGTTTTACTTGGAACTGTTACTTATGTAAGAAAATATATAAAGGAATCAAGCAAAGATCCAAATTATCAATTAACAATACTGGACCATTCTATTGCTGGATTTGTTGGTGGTATGACTTGCAGTTTTGTGGCTAATCCTATTGAACAAATTAAATCAAGACTCCAAGTTCAATATAATTGGGATACTTCTACTCAAAGGTACAAAGGACCTGGAGATTGCATGAAACAACTTTACCGTAATCATGGTGTGGCAGGATTTTATACAGGAATGACAGGAACATTGTGGTTCCGTTCATTTTGTTCAGTTTACATTGGATCCTATGAATATTTCAAACAATTAGGAAATGAATATAGGGTACCAACTACTCTAAATAACTTTATTGCTGGAGGAAGTGCTGCAACAGTAATGTGGATTGGATGTTTCCCTGCAGACACAGTGAAAAATAGAATCATGTCACAACCAGATGTTCCAAAAGATCAATTGAAATATAAGGGCTTGATTGATTGTGTGAAAAAGATTTATGTTAATGAAGGAGGGTTGAAAGGATTTTATCGTGGATTTGTTCCATGCCTATTGAGATCATTCCCAACAAATGGAGCCTCATTCTTAGCTTGGGAATTTACAATGAAATGGCTTTCTTAAATTATATGCATATGTTTAATTTCTTCTTATTGTTGTAAATAAAACGAAAATGTTACCTTTTTCCTTTGTGCACTATTAAACACATTTAAAAAAAATGCCTAAACACAAACCTGGCACCGAAGCTTCTGATGAAAAATTTTCTTGTAAAGCATCGGAAGTTGTTGATCATCAAATAGCGCTTAAAAAAAAGAAAACATCTTTCAAATTTTCATTATTATTTTTGAGTGATTTGGCTTTGTTTTTTTCCATGATGTTGCATTTCATGATCTGCCCCTATACAAAAGTAGAGGAAAGCTTTAATACTCAAGCAGTTTTTGATATTTTGAAGAAAAGTAACACTCAAGATTTTGATCACATGTTCTTCCCGGGCGTTGTACCAAGAACTTTTATTGGAGCAAGCGTTGTCGCTACACTGGTTCAAATTGTTAAACCAATCCTTTTACCTATTTTTCAGATATTTTCAATTATGTCCTCAGATGCCCCTTCGGATTTATTATTAACTAGATTTATATTGGGATGTCTTTCGTTCAGTGGATATCAGTACTTCAAGACTGGAATCAAATCAAAATTTGGATTATCAACAGCTCTATGCTTCAATATTATTAATTTAGTTCAGTTCCATTTATTATTTTACATGTCACGCCCATTGCCAAACACTTTTGCATTAGTATTAATATATTTTGCATTTGGGTTTTGGGTAAGGGATAAGGTCAAATCCATGTTTTTCTTGCTTGGTTTTACAGCTGTAATTTTTAGAAGTGATGTATTTGTATTGACAGCACCTCTAGCCATCCTATGTCTTATTACTTTTCAAGTTAATTTATTCTCAGGAATATTAATGGGCTTGAGTTCAATAATTTGTGGTATTACATTTTCCATTTGTGTTGACTCTTTTTTTTGGAATAGATTTATTTGGCCTGAAGGAGAAGTGTTTCTATATAATACTATTGAAAATAAGAGTATTAATTGGGGCGCTATGCCCTATCATTGGTATTTTACATCGGCGCTGCCAAGATCTCTACTGTGTGCCATACTTTTTATTCCGTTCTCTATTAATGCCCTTAAAACAAGTGTCAGTAACATCAAAAAGAATAAGAAAATACTTCTATTAACCATGTTTTTAGGAGCACTGACATTTGTTGTACTTTATTCATTTCTTCCTCATAAGGAATTAAGATTCATATTCTTTTCATTACCAATTTTTAATTTGGTTGGTGCTGTTGGATTATCATCATTATTGTGCGTACATAATCCTGGTTTTATAAGAATTGGTTTTTCTACGATTCTATTGATAGGATCATTGCTCGCTAGCTCTCTCCTTCTTCATGTTAGCTCTTTGAATTACTTTGGGGCAAGCTCACTAACAAAATTACACAACTATTTAGACAACAGAAACTCTACAACAACTGTACTCATCCACATGGATGCTCACGCTACAATGAATGGGGTTTCTCAATATTTATATCGTGATGAATACTCGTATTCTAAACTAGAATTATTAGATAATGTTACCTCCAACACAATTCATATGGAAATGTTTACACATTTACTCTCGGGAGACGAAAGAATATTGCATAATAAGAATTTTAGACTAATTGGAAGACAGAGTGGATTCAAAGGCGTTAACTATAGGCAACTTCTTACCCCACTTGAATTCTCACCCTCTCAATTTATTAACGTGGAAAATAAGATTTATATTTTCGAACGCGTTAATCGACCTGAATACTTAGTACCCATAGTAAAATGGGCCCAAAGAAGAGACAAAATCCATCTCACAATAGAGTTATCAAATGTTTCTGATTTAAGTGTTCATCTCATAGATAGAGATGAACTTAGTTTCAGAGGAAAATCCAAAGAGAATTGGTATGCGTTTGACCTTAAATTATTGGATGATGTTGGCAAAATGAGCTTTGAACCAGGAATAAGATGGCTTAAAATTACTTTACTGAAGAGAAAGCCATACTTTTGGACAAAACTGTCCAAAGAGACAACACCTTTCAAAAAAGATTGGGACAACTGGGTTGAAAGTGATAAGGAGGATTATAACCCTGCTCTTGCCCTTTCTTCTTTGGACCCCAAGATTATTCAACAATGGTATACAGAAGGTCATGGAACTACTGAAACCACCATGCTTCAAAAATTCACTCAACTTGCTCACCTTTCCTACAATAATTCCCTCATACTGGTTTACCAATGTATCGAAAGAATTCACCACACTTTTTCTCCTCTTCAATTTTCAGGTTTGGTCTTATTTGCAATGGGTTTGCTGTTGTTAATGTTGCATGTATTAGGATCGTCCACAAAGCAAAAACAAGAATAGACTAGGTATGAATATAAATTAAAATCTTATTAGTGGATAAGTCTTTGAGATTCTTCAGAATCTCTCTTGTAATCTCTGATACACAAATAAATGCCATATGATGAAAAAGTCAAAATGATTACAACCATAATGAATGCAATCAAGGCAAAAACTGCATAAAATACATCAGTAAGAATAATGGCAAGTTGTTCATTGATAGGTTCACAATCAATTTGCCAGAAGCCAGTTGCAACATTTCTGAATTTGTCGTCAGTAACAACTTTTGGTGGAGGTGTTGTTGGACCGTGCATACTGAGAGCAGCATTTAGTATTTCAACATTTCCACTATTTTTCTTTCCAAAAGTTTCATCAACAACAGCTCTACGAAGAACCTTAACTTGATTAGAGTTTTCATAAGCAACTTGCATCTTGTAAAGATTAGTAATTTCAGTAGCATTAACTTGAGACAAGACAAGTCTACCATTTGTCAACCATGGTTGGTTGAAGTCAGTAACATAACCACCAACAGTAAACTTGTTTGTTGATTGGTCAATCGAGAATGAAACGGCATTTGCAATAAATCTCAATTGAGATTCATTTTGAGTGATGAAAACCATATCACGCTTAATAAACATATCAGAAAAGTATCCTGATTGAGCCACAACTCCTTTAGAAACGAAAGTATAGAATGGAATGACATTCTTATATTGTTCAATTGTAGACTCGTAAGTGATGTCTTCTGTATTACCAACAACGACAATATTTTCACCACGAACATCAAAATCGGTGGCATAGTTGACTGAGGTCTTGATCAAATTCTTACCGAGATTAATTGATTTAACAACTTGTCCAGTACTAATTTGGACAATGATCAAGAATGGTGTGATAGCTTGGGATTGTTCAAAATCGAGGGTTGTTTGATGGAAAGCTTCAAATCCCTTTTGTTGTTCACGGCTCAAAGACACTAAAAAGTAGGCAACAGATCCATCAATAATCATTTTAGCACCCAATGGTAATGAGTTTGTTGATTCAACTCTTGGAACAATAACTTTAGCAAACTTTTGGGTTAAGGTAGCCTTTGGTGAAATACCTGATACAGGGGTGGTGGTAGAAACACTGAATCCAATTAATTTCACACTTCCCTGATTCAATAAACTTAAAGTACAGTCAAAAGTAAGCTTGGAACCAACTTCATCAGGATTTTCAACAACAAGATTGGAAATTCTAACATTGATAACCTTTTGCAAGCTTGTAGAGTCTTCAAGAGAAGGAATAGAGTCAATATCGACAGATGGTGTTTGAACTCCAATGACAGTACCATTAACATCATAAATAGGTTCATTTTTGATGAATTCTGATGGGAAAACATAAGTAAAAGCCCCAAGAGTGTCATTATAATTAATGGTAGGGATGGAGGTTGAGTTAGCATCTAAAATTCCAAATCCAAATGCATTACCAGAAATGAAAGGAACAACTGAAATAAATGCTGTATGATTGATCTTTTGATACTTAATTTCATCACCAACAAAAATATTTTCACTATTAGAAAGAACCTTGTTTGTATCGATTTTCACAGTTTGAACTGATGGTCTAAATGCCATTGTTTCAATATCACTCTTATATTTATAGTCTGTTGGAACAGACAAACTGTAAAAAGTACTAATTGGATTAGAAATTCCAATATAAGTAACTTCAGGGAATGGGAAAAGAGTTTGGTTTGCGATTTTCTTCGTAACACTATCGGATTGGAGTAATGTCAAAAATACACTACTTGTTGCATTACTAAAAGTCATGGTATCATAATTAGCAACCTTTTGTGCTCTACTCACAAAAGTAGTGAAATATTGATTAATAGGTTGTTGATCAACAATGTATTGAATATAGTCCCTCTCTTGCACATCTTCAGCAACAGCGTTCAAATTTGAACAGGTTTGAATGCCACCACTAACTACCATCACCAAACTGCTCACCAACAAGCAACATACAATCCCAAAAGTTAGTCTTTTCATTTTTTTCTTTCAAGAGAATAATAAAATAAAAAAATTTGAATAACAATTACATCCGGTACCTGTTAATTTGAAAATTAATTACTACACCATACTGAGCATTTGATACTCTGTAATATTGCTTTGGCTCTCAAAGTCTTGTTAATGTACATTAAATATTTGAAGTAAAAGTAAAAAAAATGCGCAACGTTATTCAAACCCCAACCTTCTCTATTACCGAAATCATTAGTGACAGCGAAGAAGAAGCTGAAAAGGAAGATTTCATCAAGCAAAAACAATTAGAAGAGGAAAGAATAAGTCAACTCTTGGAAGATTCTAAAAAGAAGAGGAAAAGGAAAACAAATGATGAAGAAAATTCGAAAAAGAAAAGCAAATTACCTTCTCTGAATATTATGGACAATTTTGATGAAGAGGTTAAACCAGGTCAAGTTAAAATTTCAAAACCTTTTGATTATGAAGCACTTAAACAATCGGAGCAATCAAGAGGAGTAGTTTATATATCAACAGATTTCCCAAAAAATCAATGTCCTCCAACACTCAAAGATGACAGGTCCTTGAAGAGAATGTTAAGTGAATTTGGAGAAGTATCAAGAGTTGAATCAAAATATGAAAAACGTGGATTAAAAAAGTTCAGAATAGGATACTTTGCTGAGTTCGCTGACAAAAACACAGCAAAAAAAGTTGCAATCACACTCAATGGTAGTCCAGTTTCCAGGAGTGATAGTAGAGTATATAATGTCAAGTTTATGCCAAACTTTGAGTGGAGTGAAGTTGGAGAGGATGAAGAATTACAGAAAATGAAAAGAAAATTGTTGAAAGCTGAAGTTCAAAAGGAATTGAAAACAATTAAAGAATTTAAAAAGAACAAGAAATGGTCTGAGTCCATTAAACAAAACAAAACATCGCAACCACAGTCAAACTTTAGATTTAATCAAAAAGGATTCATACGTCACGAACACACGGACACAACTCATATTGATACTCTTAATATCTTTACAAGTAAGGATAGTCAGGAAAAAAAACTTCAATCCAACAATAAATAATCTCATTTCAAAAAAATGATAAAATATTTAAATCGGAAAGGGTCGAACCCATTCACCACAACATTTAGAAATTGTACATTATCATCAAGACAGAATGAATGTGCGGAAAAGTATTTTTCTATAGAGGAAAATATTCATAAAGTAATAGAAAATAATAATTTTTGCAGCAATATGTTTAATCAAAAAGAATTTGGAATTAATTCATTTTCAAAAAAGCATTCACGAAATTTACTTCTAATTTATGGGTGCAACAACAACAATAACCTTTTCTACACTCAAAACAAAAACCGAAAGTCACACCAAGCACAACATCACCGAAACTTTTCCCAAAACCTCGTTTTAAAAAATATGCACACTTTCTACGAAATTCTTCAAACCCCAAATCGTGAAGGAGAGACAACAATTGTATTCTTTACGAATGGTAAAAGGTAAGTTAACAATAACTCTAAATTATTAAAATTCAAATTAGATATCTATTTAATGCCTCCGAGAATCTTCATAGATTTTGTACAGAATGCGGGGTGCGTGTATTCAGTGGTTTAGAACATATTTTCATTCCTCATATTTCTCCGTCATATTTGGGTGGTTTACCAGGAGCAATAATTACAGCTTCTGAAACGAGTACAACGAACAAATTTCATCTTTACGGACCCCCAAATTTATGGCATTATTTGACATCTTTAAGACAGTTTGTCAAAACTCCAATTTCCTTCAAAATAATGTTAAATATTATGATGGAACATCAGGTTGAAGAAGATTACTTAATGCATAAGGATGAGAATATTTCAGTTAGAGGAATTTTATTAAAGAGTGAAAATACATCCAGAAGGGAAGACTACCACAAATTATTACCCTATTGTGACTTTGGAGGTCCATTTGCATTAAGAAATTCATCAGGAACCTTCATAAAACAGAGTCATGAAAAAGGAATGGCATGGGATTTTCTCTTTCAAAATAAGAATAGAAAGTCTCAAGATTTATCGCCATCCAAGAAGAAATTGAAGAAAGAGCCAGAAGAATTTTATTATAGTTTCAAAAATAGGCTCAATATTCAACCAATAGGTGAACTTAATGCCAATCAAGGACATGTAGACACATTAAGAGAAATGTTAAAATATATCAATCCAACTCTTAATGATTATTGTATGTGCTATGTTTGCAAGACTGCAGATGTACCAGGAAAATTTGACAGTAATAAGGCTACAGAACTTGGAGTATTTGGAATGATGAGAGGAAAACTTGCAAGAGGAGAAACCATTGTAGTTAATGGAGTAACTATTAAACCAGAAGATGTAATTGATCCTCCAACTCCTGGTTCAGAAGTTTTGATTATCAATTGTCCAAACGAAAGCTATCTTAAGAGTCTTGTCACTCACAAACAATTTGAAAAGTATTACTCAAAGGCTGAATCTGTTATTCATTGTGTCTCTCATGAAATTCTTGTATCACCACAATATCAAGAGTTTATGAAAAGATTTTCTCCAGATTGTGATCATGTTATTGTAAATGAAGATTCCTCAAAACCTGCTTCCTCATTTGTATCCTCATGTACCAATATTGTAGAGTTCAGTCTAGTAGATAAGGATCTTTTTACATTATGTTTAAATCCAAATCATAACCAACATTCTGAAACTCATCAAAAAACATTGAAATCTCTCCATTCAAATTCAAAAATTACATATGGAGAAAGTCTAATGAAATATGTATTGATACCTACCCGTAATAAGGGTTTCGATTTTACCAAAGTACCTTACATACGTGAAATTGTGCCATCATCTGTTGAAAGCAACTTTTATCAAAGCTACCCAACAATTGCTAAATATTTGAGGGAGTATTTAGACAAATTCAATGACTACGAGTATGCTTTGAATGAAACCCACCCACAAGCAAAAATTTTACAACAATGTGGTGATCAAGAGTTTGAAATTATCTTTTTGGGTACTGGTTCTTCTGTCCCATCCAAATATAGAAATGGTAAGTAACTAATCCCATTCCACCAAAATTTACTCTTGTTATTATAGTCACTGGAATCTTGTTGAATTTATTTGATAAAGGAGCAATTCTTTTTGATTGTGGTGAAGGCACGTTATCACAACTCTATAGAGCTTGTGGGAAAGAAAGAGCCGAAACTATTCTCAAAAATTTGAAATGCATTTGGATTTCACACTTACACGCTGATCACCATCTAGGACTTGCTTACTTGTTGGAAAAGCGTTCCAAATTAACCTCTGAAGATGTTGTTATTGTTGGGCAGGGACGTATCAAAGAGGCATTGAGCGAATATTTAGTTTGTTCAAGTGATACCAAATTTAATTTTGACTTTATACCTATGCAAACTCTGGAACCAGAAAGATATTGCCCAGAAAAAATTCTTCTCGATAGAGTTATTAATCCACTGGGACTTAAATCATTTATCAATGTTCCTGTTGACCATACCTGTGCTGAGGCATATGGTATTGTAATAACTCATCAAAATGGATGGAAGGTTGTGTTTTCAGGTGACACTAGACCTTGTTCCCGTTTAATTAAGGCTGGAAAGGATTGTACTGTCTTGATTCATGAAGCAACATTCGAAGCTTCAATGATTAAAGATGCCATTTCCAAGAAGCACACATGTTCATTTGAAGCAATTGCTGTAGGAGAGCAAATGAATGCTTACAGAACTATTCTTACTCACTTTTCACAAAGATATTGTAAATTCCCAATCGTAGACTCTCAAAAAACCGACTATGCTTTGAGAAATGTTGCTGTGGCCCACGATTTGATGAGACTTAATGCTAAAAAGTTAATTCCAATACCAAAGGTAATGCAAGTTTTAAAGCATTTCTGGACCATTATCGAAATGGATACACAAAGTTATGCATTTGATTTTGATGAAACAGAAGACGAAGAAAAGAAATAAACCATAAAACTTGCTCTTCATTTCCTTCTTCAAATAAAAAATTAACCAAATTTCTCTAATTAAAAAAATAATGCCACTCATCAAGAAGAAAACCCTGCAAAGTGCTGCAGATAAGAAGGATGAAAATGTTAAACATAAATCAAATAGTAAAATGATTCCGAAAATTCATGATAGTGATGATGAAGTACCAGAGATGAGTCAATCAACAAAGGCCAAGTTAGCTGTTGCCGAACTTGCCAAGCAGGAATTAAAGAAAGAATCAGCAAAGAACAAGAAGATACAAAAGATTGCTAAAAAATCAAACAAACGAAAAGTGGAAGAAGTTGATGAGCAATCGGATAATAAGAAACAAAAGAAACTTCTCGATGTATCTGTGTTGGACTTTTTGGTGGAAGAAGACAATAAGAAGAATGAACCTATCCAAAACGAAAAACCACAAATACAAGCAACTTTAGAAACAGCCGCACCAACAAAATCGAGGTCGAAACGTTTTGTTGAATTGGGATTGGAGGCAAGAATTGCTAAAGAAAAGGTTGACCCATTTACAGTCAAGACAGAAGTAGACCCATCTGTGTTACAATTTTTACATTTAGAATTCTACAAGAAGAATCACAGAAAGGATACTGCCAAATTTTTGGATGCAAAGAGAAGTACTATTGTTCCAGCCTCTGACTTTTTTGGAGAACAAAAATGGCCAATAGATCAAGTATTCTTAAACCCTTACGATTTTTAATAATATTTATTGCCCTAATAATTTTTAAATTTATTTTTTTGCAATACTTTCGTTTGAAGGAATGATCAAGCTAAAAATAAATCTTTATAAAAAATACATACAAAAAAAATGTTCTTAATGAGATCCGAATATGACCGTGGTGTTAATACATTCAACCCACAAGGTCGTCTTTTCCAAGTTGAATATGCCATCGAGGCTATCAAACTCGGTTCAACAGCTGTAGGAATTCAAACACCTGACGGAGTTGTTTTGGCTGTAGAAAAACGTTTAACTTCCTCTCTTTTGGAACCATCATCTGTTGAAAAGATTATGGAAATTGATTCTCATATTGGATGTGCCATGTCTGGTTTAACAGCTGATGCTCGTACACTTGTTGAACATGCTCGTGTTGAAACTCAACAACATCGTTTTACATACAATGAACCAATGGGTGTTGAATCTTGTACCCAAGCTGTTTGTGATCTTGCTCTTCGTTTCGGTGAAAATGGGGATGACTCTGATGATGAGGATTCTGGTGCTGGAATGAGTAGACCATTCGGTGTTGCCTTGCTGATTGCAGGTATCGATGAAAATGGTCCAAGCTTGTATCATACTGATCCGAGTGGTACTTTTACGAGATATGAAGCCAAAGCAATCGGAGCAGGTTCTGAAGGTGCTCAAACAACTCTCCAAGAAGAATACAACAAATCAATGTTCCTTGAACAAGCAGAAAATTTAGCCATTTCCATTTTAAAACAAGCTATGGAAGAAAAGGTAAACTCCTCTAATGTTGAAATTGCAAGCATTACTGTTAGTAATCCTGTCTTTACTGTTTACTCCAAAGAAAAGTTAGAGGAAATAATCAATAGAGTTGCCAACAAGTAATTTCTGACACTGATGTAAAATTGTATAATCTACCACCCATCCCAATATTTCCCAATTCCCAAAAAACCTATTAAAAGCATTGTATTTTATTTTTGTAAATATTCCTTTATTGGTTATGTTTATTCTTGGAACACTTTACTCTTCAGCCTTAATATCATCAGTTCCTTTGATATCGACAAATCGTTGTTCAATTATCTTGTGAATATCATAACCACTGACGAACTTGTCAATTGTATTGGCAATTTGTTCAGCATATTTCTCATCAAAAAGCATATTATAGTGATTAGAACCATTGACAGTGATTACTGATTTGGTGTTGAGAGTTGTTTCCATAGATTTGAGAACCTTGGTATCAATAATTGGCTTCTTATCGCCATCCTTCAAACCATGCTCAGAACGAATTAAAGCGATTGGATGTCTTAAACGAATTAATTCTTCCAATGAAGGTGCATAGTCTTCCAATGATCTCAAATCCTTTGTGGCAGCTAATCTTACATCATCATTATTTTGACTCTTTGAAAATTCAACAAATGATTTAAAATCAATGTTTTCACTATTAACAGCACCTTGAAGGAATAGAGCCTCGTTTGGAGAAGCGAATGTAGATGCTATCTTTTCGTGCAATTGAGTAACATCAGCCATTGAAGCCTTGTTGATAGGGTATCCACCATTAATTAAAACAGCACCACTAATACGGTCTGGACATTTGTTCATTAACATATATGCAATATTTGCTCCAAAACCATGACCAACAACAAAGGCTCTTGGTAATCCGTAGTATGTCAACAATCTAACAAAATCTAAAGCATGATTAACCAAGTTCAAAGAACCTGATGTTTTTTCCTTTTCCTCTTGTGTATTGTATAATTGGTTCAAATCGGTAACTTGGGTTTTACCTCTTCCCTTCAAATCCATAGTAACTATACCATATGGGTAGTTAAGTTTACGGGCAATTGTTGAGAAAACTTTTGAATTTGTTGTATAGTCATGAATAAAGACGATTGGATTTGGTGGTTTCTTTGACTTTCCTAAACCATTGAAACTTAAAGAAGAAATTTCGTAAGGATGTTGGGCGTGTCTTTTTGGTATGTTATGTTCAATCCAAGGAAAAGCCTCATCAGGATTCAAAGTCTTCAAGTCTTCATATACGGAAGCTTCACTCTTGGTTGATGTGTGGAACAAACATGAAATTTTTCTAGCGGTGCTAGATGAGGTGCTAGAGTTGGTTTTTACTGATGAACGAAGGACTTTTTTAAGCATTTTTTTCCAATTCATAAAAAATAAATAATTAAAAAATAATTAAAAGTTTCGTAATTATTTTACTAATTATCTTGCTGTGTCACTATCGATGTTCTATAATATTTATCTCTTTTGGAAAGAATAGCAGAGCATGCTGAACGTAATCTGTTAATTTCCATAGCTGTCAAACTTGTAAAAGAATAGCCCGGGAAGTAATCTTCTGCTTCAACATCTGCCAGACCTTTAGTCAGACCATCCGTCAGATTATCTCTTCTTTTATCTTCAATAGTTTTTAAGAGAGATGAAATTTCTTCTGGATTCTCTTCAAAATCATTTTTGGCACTTGATCACTTTGTGTTATTAATTCGAATTAATAAAAACATTACCTACATTTTCAATAAAAGATATCCTATTTCTAAAAAGTGATTTGGCATTGGATAAAATTGGTGACTAACAGATGACTTTACTGATGCCTCCTCTAGCCAGGAAACTTGAAGCCATTCGGGTATTATTATTTTACATTGATTCAATTTTTTGAGATGAATAGCTGCCCACAAAGGAATTGTAATTTCTTGATTGGCAAGAGCAGGTCCTATTGAACAGGTTATTAACTTGATGTGTGGAAGGTTTTTTGTTGGTCGGATTGTTATCATGGTTTCCTCTGCCAAGTACTCCAACTCTTCGTTAGATATTAGGTTCTCCCTATGTCTAAACATTTTTTAAAAAAGTTGGCGGGAATGTTTGAAATTAAAAATAATTTAAAACTCCATTCAATCAAAAAAAATGCAAAAACTTTCATCGCAAAAATCTCTTAAGAGTTTACTTTACGGAAAAAAGTCTGTCAATCTAAAGATTAATTTACCTTCACAATTCAGGAATTATAGTTTTAAAAAAACAAATTCCGATTATTCAATTTTGAAGGAAGGCGATAATATTCATGGTTGGGTCCTAACTTCAATAGAAAATTTGAAAGATTTTGACTTGGTTGCCTATCGTTTAAAACATTCACAAACTGGAGCTGAATACTTGCATCTTGACGCTCCTTTTGATATGAATAATTCATTTGCAATTAATTTTGAAACACCTCCAACTGATGATACCGGTATGCCACACATTCTTGAACATACAACTCTTTGTGGCAGTGAAAAATATCCAGTTCGTGACTTGTTCTTTAACATGATGAAGAGAAGTTTAAACACTTATATGAATGCCTACACAGCAAGCGATCATACCACATATCCTTTCAGTACTCAAAATGAAAAAGATTTTTATAATTTGATGTCTGTGTATTTGGATTCTACTTTAAATCCTAGGATTTTAGAAACAGATTTCAAACAAGAGGGACATAGACTAGAGTTTGAAGATCCTCTCGACTTGAATTCAAATTTACAAATCAAAGGAGTTGTTTATAATGAAATGAAGGGAGCCATGAGTGATAGTAATCAATTCTTTGCTTATAATTTACAAAAATCAATTCTTCCAAATACTGTTTATGCTTTTAACAGTGGAGGTGACCCATCAGCCATACCAAATTTGACTTACAATCAATTGAAACAATTCCACCAACAAAATTACCATCCTAGCAGGGCAAAAATTTTTACTTATGGATCTTTTTCATTTATTAATCATATCAATTTTTTAAATGAAAATGCCTTTTCAAAATTTTCTGAATTACCAGTAAGAAATTCTTCAAGCAAAGTTGAAAAATTTACAGAACCTAAACAAGTAGAAGTGTTTGGGCCACCAGATTCCATGGTTATTGATGAGGAAAAGCAAACTAAAGTCTCTGTTTCTTACTTGATGAATGACAACTCTGATGATTTTGAAACCTTTTCCCTTTCTTTTCTATCCGCCCTATTGATGGACGAGCCAAGGGGTGTTTTTTACAAGAATTTAATTGCTTCAGGATTGGCTCCAGATTTTTCTCCTTATTGTGGTTTTGACTCTTCAATGAGCACTCCAATATTTTCTATTGGAGCTCAAGGTGTTGCAAAGAAAGACGTAGAAAGTATTGAGCAGGCAATAAGAGCAACATTTGAAGAAGTAGTTCATAATGGAATTGATCAGGGTCTCATAGATACAGTTTTACATAACGTGGAATTATCAATCAAGAAAAAGTCAACCAATTTTGGTGTAAACATTTGTTATCCAGTATTCTCCAACTGGATTCACAACAATGACCCAACAGGTACTTTTAAAATTAATAGTCAAATTGAAAGATTGAGAGGTGAACTTGAAAATCCAAACTTTTTCAAAGAGAAAATCAAAAAATATTTTATTGAAAATCCGCACCGTGTTACATTTGTAATGCATCCAGATCCTAAATATTTCGAGAACCAAGAGAAGAATGAAAATGAAAGAATTGAAAAAATATCCAATTCACTAACTGAATCTGAAAAAATCAAGCTTATTGAGCAATACAAGGAAATGGAGAAGGCAAAAGAATCACAGGAAAAAAATGTTGAACTATTACCTACTGTCACAATCAGTGATCTGTCCAGACAAATCATGGATCCCCAAAATGTTCAGTCTCTTCCAGGATCTCCAGAATTCCACCTTAATGTAGTCAAGGGAACTAATGGTATTGTACAAGTAACATCCATAGTTCCAATATCATTAGCAGAAATTCCAGATCATTTACAAAAATTTGTTCCAATATTTGGTAATGTAGGTATTTTATCAAGTATTTAACTAATTTTTATTTCTTCTTATGTAAAGTTACTTGTAAGAGTTGGTACATCACAAATGGATTATCTCCAATTGGCCCACCAAATAGAATTGCATACCGGTGGCATTGATGCTAGCCCTTTAATCATTCCAAGTTTAGAAAAGCTGAATGACTTTTCTTTTGCCCTTAAATTCTCTTCATACTGTTTGGAAAGAAATGTAGAAAAAATGATTGAGCTCATGAGAGAAATTTACACAAATACCAACTTTTTTGGAAATTTAAATTATTTACAATCTTGTATTGATCAATCAGCAAGTGATGCAGCAAGCGGAATACTTCAAAGTGGTCACCACTACGCCAAGCTCCATGCTTCATCCTCTCTTTCATTTTATGACTATTTAGTAAATAGTACCAGTGGTATTGGTGCTATGAAGTTTATTAAGGAACTCTCATCAAATGCTGATACTGAGTTAATCGCCACCTCACTTCAAGAATTGGCTCCTTACCTTCTCAGAAAGGATAAAATGAAATTCCTCATCACATGTGAGGAGCATCAGGCAACTAGAGTTATGAATGTAGTGAAGGAGCAATTCTATGAATCAATTCACAATAACTCTGTATCAAGTTTGGAAAAGATGAAGGCCCAATTAGACTTTAAGCCTAATTTTGTCAATACCTATCTTTCTATTCCTTCTTCGGTTAGCTTTGTTGGTAGAGCTTTAGCCACAGCACCATTTGCTACAAAGGATTCGGCTCTCTTGAGGGTAGTTTCAACAGTATTGCATTCTAATTACTTGCATCAAGAGGTTAGAGAACGTGGTGGCGCTTATGGATCCAATGCCTCACAAAGTATGAATGGAGTTTTCACGTTTACCTCATATAGAGATCCAAATCCAAGCAGAAGTATTGCTATTATGGCTAATGCCTCTGATTGGATCCAAAAGCTTGGTTCAGTAACTAGCAAAACTGTTCAGGAAGCAAAACTTCAAGTTTTCCAACAATTAGATGCTCCTGTCACTCCACACGTTCATGCCCAAAGCAAGGTTATATATGGTATTAACGATGATTTGCGTCAGTTCAGAAGAAACGTTGTTCTAGATGCCACAAGGGAAGATCTTATTGATACTTGTGTTAGATATCTAGGAGGAGAAAATGACAAATCTTCCTCCAATACAATTATTGGAGGCAGTATTGAGAAGGACATTGACCAAAACGAAATGTCAAAATGGGTATTAGTTAAAGATGAACTTAATTGAATTAAAATAAAAATGAACATTTTACATCCATTTCATTTTCCAGCCATTAAAATGCATGTAGTTCAAAATATTTTCATTTATTTCCTTGTGTATTATTTTTCTATTTTCAGTTAGAAAGGTGTTAGATTTGTGTGTTTTTGGAAACCTTTTTTGAAATGTGCACTTTCTGCAACACGAAACCAATTCAAATAAAAAATATGAAAAGATCAAGCACAATACCAAAACCAAGTAATACAGGTAGTGACAAAATCAATGATGAATTTATTCTTTCAATTGTTGGTATGTAATTTCCAATCACTTTATTGATGAACTTTAATCACTGTGAAGGAGATGGAGCAGTTGGAAAGAGTTCTCTCTCCACAAGATTTATGCAAGGTACTTTCGATAAGCAACAAATTTATGATCCTACCATTGAGGATGCTTATTACATAAAAAGAAATGTAGATGGAAAACCAACCCATCTGGAATTGATAGATAGTGCAGGACAAGAAGGTTTGTACTTTTAAAACTCATTTCCAAACTCTTTTTTTAAAGAGTAAGTTTATTCTTTTGATTCCCTCACCATTATAGATACAAAGCCTTGAGGTCAACTTTTATGAGAAGATCATTCGGGTTTATTTTTGTTTTTGATGTTACAAATGGAGAAACCCTAAAAGCATTGAAGGAGTACTATGACCAAATAATAAGAATTAAAACTGGTGATGAAGAATACATTCCTGATTCCAATATTCTCCAAAGGCCCCCATTTCCTTGTATATTTTTAGGAAACAAGATAGACCTTTTACTAAAGAACCCACAAATTGCAAAATGGAAAGAGAAAATTCAAACATCCCAACAAGAAGAAAAAAGGGATAAGAAGCTCCTTAGAAAGCTTGACAAGGAAGTTAGATCCTTCATAGAAAGAGAAATTATTGGAATTCAGACAGGAGAAAAGAATACATTCCATCTGCCTCTTTACTGGACATCAGCCAAAGAGAATATTAATGTAGTTGAAGGGTTTGAAGGAATAGTAAGAGAAATGAGAACAATGTCAATCCCTATAGCAAAACAAAAAAGAATGAACAACACACCAAAAACTCTCTCTAATCAATCAAGTTCAACTGAAAGAAGACGATGGTCAAGTTTTAGCTCTTCAAAAAAGTCCACTCCTAATCATTCCATTGAAAAGCCATCATCATATCCAAGCAGAAGGGGAAGTTTCTTATTTTCCTCATTTAATTGTGATAATGATATGGAAGACTTAGTATGAGTAGTAACATTTCAATTCTTAATAAACCTTAACTGTAGTGCATATACTCATTACATTTTTAAAAAAAATGCCTAACTCTAGATCTTCATCAATTTCCAACCGTAACATTATGGAGGATGTTGAAAGTGCTCTGGATGATCTTGAATACTTTGATCCCATTCTCTCACCATTGGAGGAGGAGAAGATGTGTATGGACAATATTTGTCAATGCCTTAATGACTGCTTCTTTATGATAAAACAATATACTGAAGGAGAAGAGTCATTTAATGTAATTTTAGTGGACCAATCTTTGGAGTGCTTCCAGCTCGCAAGTAAGTACAAAATATGTTCATGAATTAATAACTTGCTAAGTTTCTCTTCTTGGAGCCGATACATCCCCAGAGAGAATTTCGGAAATTGGATTAAAAGGAAATAATAATATTCCCTCCTTTCTTTCCATGATAATTAAATTCATCTCTCTTGATTTAACAACAATAGAAGTGGAACCTTCATCCAATTATTCCCAGCATCAAATTGTAAAAATATTTATTAACTTGAAGATTTATGCTCTCAAGTGTTTGGCCAAGTTGATTTCAGTTTGTTCCTTAGAGACAACTGAAGATTCTTACAAAGAACTTTCTAAAAATTGTGCAGAGCTATTTGTAAAAGATGAAGGTCTGAATGCTCTTTTTGAATGTCTTGTCATTGACGACAAGTATGACACAAGCGATCAATCAGATGAAAAGATGAGGTTAATCATTGTGGAAACTTTGTTCTTTTTTGTTTGTAGAAATGAAATTGCAAGATTAGCAGTGGTTTTTCAACAAGGTCTTTTACTAATTATGGAACTTATGACAGTAGAACCTAATTCCACCATAAGAAGCTATTATTGTGCCATTTTGAGAGAATTTTGCATCACCTACCCAGAAGATTTGGTAAAAGAAAATTGTATTGAAAACTCAGTTTCTTACCTTGCAGCAGACCCTTGTGATGATGTGCGGGCTTTGAGTGCTGAAATAGTGGAAATGTTAATCAAAACAGATTCAACTAATCTAGAGAGAATTGACTTGATTGAAATTGCTAAATTGTTAAATTCTGTGTTGAACAATGACACCTCTGCAGTTGTAGAATCTTGTTGTAAGCTTTGTGAAACACTTTTTAAAGAAGACACCCACAAGATCATTCATTCTGAATTTATTAAGAACAGTTATTGGGTATCATTGGTGAGAGTAATGAAAAACCACGATTTCAAAACAGCCTCTTGTGCCATTAGAGCTATTCGGTACTTAGCCCAGTTTTCTGAAAGAGACGATTTAGCACAAAAATGTTTGCTGAAGTTTGATGCAATTTCAACCCTTCTCAAGTTCTTGTTAGATACAACCTTTGATAAGAGAACCAACATAGAAGAAAAAAGGAGTAAGTTTAAAAAAGAGAGAACACAGAAACATCAACCTGTTGCAGTGGATGAGGCTTGTGAAGTTTTGAAAACAACTATCAAATTGGAATCAGCATTTCTTTTTTCTATGCTATTTTATAGATCTCCAAGATTGAAACAAAAGGTTAAGGATGATCTGAAGGTGTTTCCAAATTGGATTATGGCTCTTCGAAGAAAACTCGTACAAGCTGTAGCTCAAAGCGAAATTTCATATTTTGAAAATGTTGAAATAACAAATGAGTTGGGATGGAATATGGCAAATTTTGTTATTGAAAAAGAAACAGTTTACGACGAAAAAACAGTTGTTGAGTATATTTTAACAGAACCAAAACCTCCAACAGAGGAATCTGGATATCAAGAATTTGATGGACGAATTAAGCAATTCTTGATCAAAAGTTGTCTTTCGCAAACGTTTGAACAACCAGAATCCCAAGAGGTGCTAAATTCGGTTCAAACTGAATCCCCCAGAAGAATAGATCCCCAATCCCCAGTTGCAACAAAAAGAGTGGAAGTAATCAGGAAAACAAAATTGCCAGAAATTCCTTCTCCTAGAAAACAAGCAATAATTTCCACCCATTCGCCAAGCATTCCCTCCCCAATTTCTGTTATTCAAACACCTGAAAGGGAAACAGCAAAATTCAATGTAATTCAATGGAAGGCTCCTGTTTCACTTCTCTCTCCTCAAGACGGAGAAGAATTTACTCCTGGTTATTTTGGTCAGCCAATGAATAACATTCCAAAGGGGGATAAAGTTGAGAAACGAACAGAGAAAGTTTCCAGGAATCTTTTTTCAAGTCCAATGAAAAACATTCCAACCTATGAAGAGGTGGACTTTAATCGCCTCATTTGTATTTGCAAGGCATACTCAATGTGGTATGAGAGTACAGAGATGAGGTATTCACGAGAGGAAGAGCAAGACAGATTTATCACAACCTTCCAATTAGCGAAACTAGGAAAACAATCTCCAATGTATAGTCCACTTAACTCTCCCAAAGATCCAAGGGCAGTCAAAGGAACACACTTGTTTTATCAAAAGATACCTTACCATTTCAAACACTCTCCTCAAAAATTGACAAAAGTTTGGAATGATGAGCATGTCAGAGCATCGGATGTATTTCAATTCCATGTTTTATTCGAACAACTTGATGAGAGAACTCTTTTACAAACAATTGAAAATTTAAAGAAACATTTAAAGGTAATCTCGAGGGACTTTGTAGTAACTCCTAAAGAACACAACGCACGTGGAAGAAAAGTATTCCTATTAGATTTGAAGCAAAATATATTACCAAAATTGGAACAATCATTTTTGGATTTGTTGAAAAGGGGAAAAGAATTCGGGTTTAATAGAATACTTGAAATTATTAATTCTTGGAAAGAAGCAAAAGTCAGAGTCGATCTGGCATTAACTCATGAAAACATGTTAGAAGTATTAGAGTGTGTAAAAATTGAACTTGCTAAAGAACAATTAGAAAAAATCAAACTTGACAAGTCAGAAAGTAAATAAATATTAAAATGATTTATTCTTCGTCTGAATCCTTTTCCCACCTAGCATTGTATCGTTTTCTACTCTCTTCCTTTTCCTTGTCTGTAGCCTCTCTAGCCTCTTGTCTCTTTTGTTTGACTGTTTCATAGTCATCCTTCAATCTATCTTTCAACTTTTGGTATCTTTGCTCCTTGGCTGATTCAATCTTGGAAGCTTGTTTTACATCTAGTAAAGGATCATTTGGTGTCTTGGTTGATTTGATTTGCATGGTTTCATAATCCAAAGCCTTAGCAATTTGACCACTTTGCAAGTTAACACGAGGAGCAATTTGAGTCTTATGTCCCTTAAGGGTGTTCCATTCCATACCTAGAGGATGTGCAAAAGCACCATCTATGACGGCAGCTTCCACTTGATTATGTACTGGAATAAGGAATTTGTCAGGGATTTTGGCTGTTTCTCTAATGATGACATGATTTAAATTAGAATCTGAACGTTCATCAATTTTTTGCTCTCTAATCTTCTTTTGAAGTCTTCCTATTTGTCTCTTCTTCTTTTCCAAATCTCTCTTTACTTGTTCTTCTTTACCAAAACCAGCCCAAGATCCCCAACCTGGTTTAAATGTTGTTGACAAGTCTGGCATATCAATTTCTTCGTCAATAGCTCTATCTTTTTCCTCTGCAAATTGTAATTCTAAATCATCCCCAGCAAAAGCTTCTTGCTTCACCTTCTTCTCAAATTCCATTTGTTCTCTATTCTTTTTACTGGTGCTAACTACTGCCTCACTTTCTTCTTGTTCATTATTATTTGAAGAATCAATGCCAATCTTGGTATCATCAGTGTCAATAAGAATCTTGGTAGCAATGTCCTTATTCAATTTCTTCTTTTTCTTATTCACAGTATCTGTAATATCATCACTATCTCTGCTCTTTGTTTTTCCTGCTTTGTTGAGCCATGGATTTTCCTTTACAGATGTCCTTTTTCTCTTCATGGAAATACTTGTTGTTGCTACTTCCTCACTGTTTTGGAGTGGTGTTTGCCCAAAAGTCTTGCTTTCAATTTTAGTTGTGTTCAGTACTGTTGTTTGAGGAACATTATTGGATGCTACGCTTGTTTGATTACTTGATACCTTGAGAGTGGATTTTGGAATAACAAAAGAATTCTTTTCAAATTTAGATTCAATAGAGTTATCCTCTTCACCAGAACTGGAATCATTTTCTTGTTTTTTAGACCCTTTTGAAGTTTTTGAGAATTGCATTCTTCCAGAAGCCTCTTCACTATCAGTTACATTTTTTCCTAAATGAATTTCTACATCTCTTTCCATTTGATTAACAAGATCCATTTGCTCTAACTTCTTTTTATCCTCTGCTTTCTTCATAAACTTCATGCCAAATAAACCCTTGGCTTCTTTGTTTTCTTCTCCAGCAATGGTTTGTCTCATCATTTCAAAGGGATTAGATTCTCTTTCTTTTTTGAAAATTTCTTCAATAACTTCTTCCTCTTCGTCACTTTGATTTTCCTCTTTTTTCGTCTGTTTTTTGATAAGTTCTGTATGAATTTGAAGTTGATCAGCAACAGACTGTCTGAGGTCATCATTGTGAGACTGATGTTTCATGGCATGTCTAACCCATTTGGATGTATTCTTGTGTCTCATAGTCAATCTTTCAGTAATCATTTCTCTTTCTCGTTTCATTATTTTTTGTTTGAGTTCTTCTTCGTCCATGTTTTTCATTTCCTCTTCTTCTATTAATTCCTTTTGTTTTTCCTTTTGCTTTTTAAGAATTCTTCTATAAGTCTTACTCTTTATGTTTTTTAGCCATTTATTCTTTCTGGCCAACTTTTCCATTTCTCTTCTCTTATTCAAAACTTCCTTATGTCTTGCCATAAGTGCTTCTTTATCCATGTTTGATAGTTGTTTTTTAGTGGCTTCAAACGATTTCAACATTTCCACTTCGTTTGTGTCATCAAATACGCCACTACCTTTTATACCTTTTTCTAAAATCTTTTCTTTTTCTGTCTTGTCTCTAAGATGCTTGTAAATTATTGGCACATGTCTTGCATTTTCCACATTCTCAACAACAGTATGCCATTTTTCCATTCCTTCATCTACAATGTCAAAAGCTGCTCTTCTTTCTTCTCCTTGAATTTCTGTATCCTCAAGTGCATAGAATAATCCAGCTCCTTTTTTGAATTGCTTGTCAATTTTCTTCAATTCTTCAATGTTTTGTAACTCTTTTTGAGTTTTGTCTGCACTAACTCTTGTGTCATCGGAGTGTTTAGTAGTGGCAGAAATCAAATCAGAAAGCTGAATATCTTCGTCTTCACTTTCGTCATCATGAATGTGTGTAGCTTTCTTTATAAGTTTTTGTACATTTAATGAATCATTCTCGTCTTCATCCGATGAAGATTCTTCATCACTTGACATTTGTACTTGATTTCCAGAAAGTAGTGACTTCATTGTTTCTTCCTCTTCTCCATCGTTTGGAAAAAAGCCAGATACTTTTTGCTTCTTTGCTAACGATTTAGAAAGAGCATTATATTCATTTTCATCCTCATCCGATGAAGAAGTATCAAACTCGGAATACTTTTCAAATAACTATTAATGTTTTAAATTAAATAAACATACATGTTTTCTAGATTCATTTCTATCTAAAACACTTTCGTTTGGTATTTCTTCCTCTGATTCCTCGTTATATTCAACTTCGTCAATCATTTCCTTGTCAGAATCACTAGAATACTCTTGCTCTTCCTCTCTGATTTGTTCAATAAGTTTTTGCTGTTGTTTGTTCTTCATTTTTTTTGTACCAACCCTATCAAACAATCCTTTGATGAGAAATATTAACAGTTTTATTATTTGCAATTTTTGTTCGCCAACTACTAGTTAAGTAAATCATTGAATACATAATAATTAGTATGTATTTCTAATGCTGTTTTATTTACATTATTTATCATGAATGCTCACAACATTTAATTCAACGATACGTCATCAACACTTTAAAAAAACAACAGGACACGTCGTTTTTGCTATCAAAGCATTGCAACACAATATGGGAAATGTACTCTCTATGATTGGGTTTCAAAATAAAACTCATAATTTTCAAGAGGAATTACAACGATATGATAAAGAGATTCGATATTATCATACTAGACAACGTAAATTTAATGTTAGAGCAAACTCTTTTCCGAACCGAATTTCCCAATTAATCATATTTATTGGAGTATTAGTTTGTACATCAGTGTACATGCTAATACCTCCTCCAGTTGCGTATTATGCAATTGTTGGGATTGGATTTTTATTTATAATAACGTAAGTAATTTCATCTTGTGTTGATAGAGTGATTGTTGGATATAAATCATGTGAATATTTAGAACTTGGATAATCAAGAAAGTGCTAGTAAGATACTATGATAATACTGTTTCATCGTATAACTATGACATTGAGCAATTACTTTTAAAACAAAAGGAAATACTTGAAGATTTGAAACAACAAAACGATTACTATGCCACCCATGACCTTATCCAAAAATATGAGAGAGCAATTCAAGTATTACAGAGACATGTAACAAGAAAAAGGAAAAAGTTGCAAATCTTTAAAAATTTGAAAAAGAGAAAGGATTTTAAATCATTGGAAGAGGAGTACGAGGATGATATGGAAACAACTGAAATTTTACTTTCTAATTATCCTTATTTTTCATATGAAGTATATAGAAAATATGCCACTAGGAACACACTGCTTGATTCAGAAAATTCTAGTCAACCCGAACAAGACAAAACAGAAAAAACAATGACAACAATTACAACTCAAACAGATTCATCGCTGGGAATAGAAACACACTCACAACAACTGCAAACCCAGCAAATACTAGAGCAAAGTATGAACAAACTCTATTCTATGGTTTCTGCCATAAACGAGAACCAAAAACGAGTTCAAAAAATTCAATCTCTTCAAACTGTAGCAGAAAATGCTAGCCCTTTATTCAAATCTCATTCATTCCGTATTCCAAAAGAAAAAACTTCTGTTTCAGTAGGAACAATAGAGGAAGACAGCGATACTAGAAAGCGAGCAAACAGTCTTTCTTCTCAAGAAAAAGCTGAAAGCAACCAAGAAACTAATCAAGGTACTGAAGAAAGGCTGGAAGTTTCAAAGATATCTGAACTAGATGATCAATTGCTTAAGTTAAAACAGAGAGAACAACTGTTAAAAGAGAGAGAGGCCAAATTAATATTTAGAGAGTTGAATTTTGAAAAACAACTAAATGCCCTGGCTTTACAAAAACAAAATGCTATCTCTCCAAACGCTTTATACTCACCAGAGTTGACTGGTAAATATAGAATAAGTATCGATAAGAATAATAATGGCTTTGTTGAAAACTCAAAGACATGTAAACCTAACTGGTTTGACAGGTTGATGGACAGAGTGGTTGGTCAATCACCAGAAAATTGTTATGCCCTTATATGCTCTAGGTGTTGTTCTCACAACGGATTAATGATGATGGATGATGCAGAAAACCATTCTGGATATAAGTGTTGGAACTGTAATTATCTCAATATCAAATCATCTTCTGTTTCAGATAGTGCAAGTGTAGTATCAGAAGTGACTGATGTACTATATATGGAAGAACATGATGAGGAAACCAACGAAACCAATGAAAATGAAGAAAAACAAGAAGCTGAAGAAAATACAGAGGTAGAGGATTAAACTTTATTTCTTCTTTTTGAGTTTTTGTACAAGTTCATCTTTTCTTTTCCTCTTCTTATCATCATTTGCAGTTTCTGTACTTCTTTGCATTCCCTTTTCCTTTTGAATAATGAGTGTTTTCTGTTTGGAGGTTTTGGCATCTACTTCTTGATTATTGACAATATGATATGGGAAATCAGCTCCCAATTTCATGATTCCTGGCTCAACAACTTCCACACAAAGCTTCCTTCTGTAATTTTTAGATGTTTTAACATAAATACGAATATTAACATGTTCGAACACAGTGAGGGTAATTGTTGGTTTGTTTTGATCTTCAAAAACTAAAGAGTCTGTTTCCTCGTTAAAAGTAATATTTGAGTATTGTACATTGTCTTTTGTGAGGAAAATAACATGCTCAAAACCAAATCTTGGAATAAAAACAACGATACCATTACTTTTCATTTGTGTAATGTAGGCTCTCTCACTTGTGATTGGATTGGAATTAAAATACACATTGGTGTACAATTCTACAGATGACCTTTGAGCATATTGAGACATTCTATTTCTCTTATTCAAATCATTCATTAATCTTCTAGAGTATTCACGGTCAGTAACCTTTTCTGTGAGAGGATAATAACCAATGGCAGCCCCCAATAATCTGTGAACAATTACGTCAGCATATCTACGAATTGGCGATGTAAAATGTGTATAGATTGGCACAGCTAAACCATAATGCCAATATTCTTCTTGACTGCAATCACCTGAGATAAAGTAAACAGCTTGCTCCATACATCGAGTTACCATAATACGAACTAGGGTATCCATATATTTATCCTTAATTAGTCCAGAACTTCTAATATTACTCAAGGTTTCATTCAATATTTTGGATGATGAAATATCTAAATTGATGCCATGCCTTTTCAACATTTCCAAAAGAGGCTCAAATTTTTTAGGGTTAACAGGAGGGTGACGACGAAGACAAGCAACCATAGGGAATTCTTTAGTTATCTTCTTTGCCACAGCAATATTGGCCAACAACATGAACTCTTCTACCATAGAGTTGGTTTCTCTAAGTTGGTATAGTTCTACGTCTGTTGGGTTGGAGGATTCAGCCTCCATACTGAATTTTACAGCTGGAGAAGCAAGAGTTAATGAGCCAGCTTCGTTTCTTTTCTTCTTCAAAATTTTAGATATTTGCATTAACAACCTCAAGTCAGTTGCTAATTCATCATCTCTTTCCTTGTCATCAATAACCTTCTGAGCTTCTTCATAAGTCATGGATTTTCTGGAACGAATTAATGATTTGGTATAGTCTACGCTCTTAATATCCCCCTCTGGAGAAAATTTCCAAATAACAGAAAAGGCCAACCGATCAACATGTTGTCTGAGGGAACACAAGTTGTTCGTTAATAAACTAGGTAACATTTCGATTCTTCTATCTACAAGATAAACAGTGGTTCCTCTCTTAGCTGCTTCAATATCAATTGCTGTTCCTTCCTTAACAAAATTTGTAACATCAGCAATATGAACTCCAATTTCAATAGAGCCATCAGGTAGTTGTATGGCATGTAGAGCATCATCAATATCAGTACAACCAGGAGGATCAACACTGACAATATTGAGATGTCTTAAATCTCTTCTACGTTCCATATCTTTCTCTGTAGGTTGCCAATCTTTTGGAGGTAGACAATCAATAATGGATTGAGAAAATTTATAGTGAGGTACGTCATGCTCAAGCAGAATTACTTCAGATTCAGTGTCGGTATTGTAAATTTCACCAATGGTACTAATATAGTGCCCATCAGGATATTTGGAATTTACACTCCATCCATCTATCATTACACATATCCTCTTATTCATCAACTCTTTGCACTGTCTTGAAACTATTCTTATTTTTGGGATGCATCTATCAACAGGGACAAATAACACCTTATTAAGACCCTCTTCAGAATCGGTATCCTCGTCTAAACTTCCACAATATGATCTCCAATTTCGTTTAATAATTCCAACTACTTTTCCAGTTGGAATTAATCTTTCAGAATTCACAAATCTAGAATAGAATGATGATGTAAGTGATTTTTCACTAGAGTCGCTCTCTGATGTACCTGTTAGAGGATGATTGTTTTCCAAATCAATATCATTATCATCCATAATAGTTATTGAAGAGGGTCTTGACCATTCAGATTTTGGTAATATTTCTACAGCAACAATATCACCATGAATGGATCTATTCATGTGTTTAAAGTTCTTAATAAGTACTGTGTTAAATACTTCAGTTGAAAGAATTGGATTTTCACTTGTTTCAGTAGTAGCATCAGAATTACCAATAATTGCTCCTAATTCTTCTTCTGCAGATTTTGTATCCGAAACACCCTTCAACTCGTTTTTTCCCTTTAAATCGACTACAAGTTCTTGCATTGACCTAAGAGAAACAAAAGCTTCATTGATATTATTCCTATTGACGGTAATTCTACCTTGATGTAATTTTTTTGTTTTGATTCTTCTTAAAAGTGTGTTCATAGGAAGGTGATCCTCAAACAACTTGTTTTGGCAATTTCCTTCTTCATCCACCATTTCATCAGAATCCTTTATCTCATCAGTGTAATTTAATAAATCTAACAATTCCTCAGGGTAATTACTCTCACTAACACATTCCCTAACATAATCATGAATTGTTTTTGCAGTAATTTCCATTTCTCGTGCTTTTCTCAAATTTTCCTTGTCATTTGTTAATAAATAAATTGGTTTACTTTCTGCAAGCTTTCTCATGTACCATAAAGCTGTAACTCTAATAGCTTTATCATTTCTGTCATTCATAGACTCCGAAATTTGTCTCTCACCAACATATGTTTCTCTGTGATGCTCATTAGAAAATACATAAAAATGTTTTCCTGATTTATCCTCAATTAATGTACGTATTCTTTTGTAAATATTATAGTTTTGATTTCTAACTTCATTCAGTACAGTTTGAAGAATAATAGCATTTGTAATTGATGGATGTTCCAATATTGTTATCTGATGAAGAACAACATTTGTATCAGGAATGATAAAACAACTAGCATCTTCTTGAAGAGAAGAACCAACACCTGTACCAATGTCATCACGGAGATAATGTTCTCTAACAACTTTAACAACGTTACCCTTCCTCGTTTGCTTTATGAATGATGTGCTACTGCGGAGAGACATTTTTTAGCTACAAAAAATTGAGTCATCTTCAAATTCTTCGTGCATTAGCCTTTATGCTCACATTATTATTTAGTTGTCTGGTTAATTATTTAATAATTTTGCTAAAGATCTAAATTGTATTCGCAAGATGGAGAAGAACACTTCTTGGTTAAAAAATCAAATTGAAAGGAAAGAGGAAGAGATTACTAATCTGCACGAAATACTGGCCAAATTGTATTCAGAAGAGAAAGACAAGACAATTGTGGATGTGGAAAAATCATGGTTTAACAAAACTAAACAATCTTTCACAGAAAAATTGTCGGAAAGATTTAGATATGAAAAGTATAATATGTCTGTTGATTGGAGATTAAAGATTAAATTGCAAGAGGTGTGTCCTTTGGAGTATTATTATGACAGACTGTTATTATGTACCAACAGGGAAGTCTTTAACTTATTGGATATTAATCATGGATGCAAAGAAGAAATGGAAATGGTAAAAGAGTGTTCAGTGAAAAGAGAACGATTCACACAAGAGTTAAAAAAAAGAGAACGTTTACAACAAGAGGAAATGAAATCTAACATTTTCTTTCCAGCCTCTGGAATAACAGAAAGACATTACAAAACACATTTGGAAAAATCAAAAAAGGAATTTGATAAAATGATGCAAAACTTCAATAAAGAATAGGGTCAATTTTTACAAAATTGTATATACAGTAAAATTACAATGATATTAATACTAGTTAGTACTGAAGTATGCATGTTTGAGACACTCAGTAGCACTTGGTCTTTTTGTTGGATCGTATTCTAACATTCTATATAGTAGATCAACACCATGAGAATCAAGCTTTTTGTGGAGAATATCAGAAGAAAATTGTTCTTTTGAAATTCTTCCTTGTGAAGGAATTGATATTTTCTTTGCAATCTTATTCATCATGATATCATAGTTTGGAAGTTGTTTTAAATCAGGCCATTCATTACTGATTGGCAATCCTGTTTTTGAAATAATACTAGCTAGTTGAGATAATTCGTCTTTACCAGTGAATAATGGTTTTCCAGTTACCATCTCTGCAAAAATACAACCTAAACTCCAAATATCCACACCAAAACCATATGATTGACTTCCTAAAAGAATATCAATAGATCTATACCATAAAGTAACAACTTCATGAGAAAGTTTTCTTACTGGTATTCCAAAAGATCTAGCCAATCCAAAATCTCCAAGTTTAAGCTCTATATTTCCTGTTTCAGGATTTGTTGATTGTCTACTTGAAGAATTTGAAGAGAATGCATTTACAAGAATATTTTGTGGTTTTAAATCTCTATGAAGAACACTCTGCATGTGGCAATATTCTATACCCTTCAACATTTGTCTCATAAAATTTTTAACTTGTCTGGATGGCAGTCCTTTTCCATCTCCAGCAACATTATTTATATACGCTTTTAAGTCACCATAGTTACAATATTCGAAAACTAGTGTTAACTGATCCATGGAATGAACTAAATCAACGAGTCTTACAACATTAGGGTGTTTCAATTCTTTTAAAATGGCAATTTCTCTAATGGCTGTACAAGGAACCCCTTCATTTAATTGGTCAAGTTTGATACACTTCAATGCTACCAGTTGTTTGTTTGGTCCCATAGATTTATATACCTCACCATAAGTTCCTTCTCCGAGAGGTTCTATTTTTGCATAATTAAATGATTGAAATTGTGAAGTACTATCATCAATTGATGATGTATCCGATTGGTCCATATTCATTATTGTGATAATTTAAAGCTGTGATCTTGGTGCTGTTAATGATATTTCAAACAACAGACTTTTTTTTAAATTAAATAATTAAAAATGGACGAAAATAGTTTTGATTAATATCACCCATCCATACAAAAGTGCTACAAAATTTGCTTTTGAAAAAAGTCTTATTTAATATCTACTCCAACGTTGGATACATCTTAAATTAACATTCCCGCCAACACATTGGCCTCGTTAAACTGTTTATACTTGCCGCCAAATAATTTACTGTTTTCCAACCAACTACAACTTTAAGAAAAAAAAAATGAGCAACGAAGAAGATATTATGATAAATGGTGATGATGGAGATATTCAACAAGATGACTCCAACTCTTTACCTAACTCTGCTGGCATGTTAGAAAATTCAAAACCATCAGGAAGAAAGGAATCGTACAGTCCTTATGTATATATGGAAAAAATTATTGATAAGTTAAAGTTACTAAACTATGAAAGAAGAAAAGACTTATTTCCAAGTCACGCTTATGGAGGTTTACCAAGATATTATTTTGCTCATCATGATAAAGATCATCCTCATGAGCAATTCCATACTTTTATTGCTGTTACCACATGGCTGATCTCGGATGTGCTAAAGTTGGATGATTATGAAAGACCAGACTTTCAGTTAGATGATCCAAATACAACGACACAAAATTTAGCATTTTATTTAAAAAAAATGGGTATTCCAATGGATTTTCCTCCAACCAAGTTGAGACAGGCTTGGGGAGAACCAGTATGTTATGTAATTGATCAATTATTGAATCGCGCTCTAAAAGAATCAAAGGTCAAGTTAAAGGCCCCTGAAATTCCTGAAGAAATTAAGTTTCGTGATGATGATGAAATTCCAGAAGAATCAGAAGATATTGAGGATAATGAGGATATGCAACATGATAATGATAGCGAGAATGAGGATGAAATGTATTATACAGTTGGATCCAAAAATGATACAGGATCTAAAGATCAGGAAAAGCATTTAGAAATGATTGAGGGATACCATAATGCTCAAGAATGGAGGTTAGAAACCGAAAGATTGTCATCCCAGCTTGTGGTTAGACTCAATGTTGATCACAAAGATTGGAGGACACACGTAGAGTCTATGGAGGAACAAAATGTTTCAATAAGAGACTTGACTCCCTCATCGACTTCTCAATTGGAAAAAATAGCTGAGGATATTGAAAAGATAAACTCAAGAATCCAGAAAAGAGAAAAAATGTTAAGTGATGATTCTTCTATTGGAAACCTTTTGGCTAATTATTCAAAAAATCAACAAGAATTAGACGAAATAACTAAAAAGTATAAGGAGTTGGAAGAAACCATTTCAGTGCTCAGTGGTGATTTAGGAAAGATAAATCAAGATCTGAGTGATATAAAGGTAAATGCTGAGGATTTAACCAAGAAGATGGCTGATACAACTCCACTCCGAGAAATCAAAGAAGCTTTGGTAAAGATACGAAATGATATCAAGCAAATGGATATGAGAGCTGGAGTGTTACAGAATCAAGTCCTTCAAGCAAAAATGAAAACATCCAGGGTATTGAGTGCTAAGGGAAAGAAAGGTGGTATCAGTTTATCTCATCACATGTCTTCAGGCTTTGAATTCGATCCATTTATGCAATACGTATAAATAAACTTTGTATTTTTCTAAAAAGAAAAAATGAGAAGGTCAGCTTTTGCTTCAGCGTCCAGAACAAATGATTTTGATAATATTAAGAATTTTGAAGAGTAAGTGTTGTATTTGAATTTTATCGGAAAGAAGAACAGCTAGTTTTATGAATGAAGTTGACTCTGATGATGATTCTCCGAAAAAAGCTGTTACTAAACCATCCTTATCCAACAGCATACCTGCAAAGCAGCATAATTTTAAAGGAAATACAACATCAACCCTAAAAACAAATAATGCCTCACACAACTTACCCAGTCATCTATTTGTAAGTCTAAACGATTTTATCATTTGGATTTGAAATTAGGAAAGAATTCAATTAAATCAGTGGCGAGTGATTACAATGAATTCACCTCTAAGGAGCTAATGTCAAAAAGTGGATCTGATACTCATGAATTTGATAAATATAAACCCTCTATGGGATTTGGCAACCAAAATTCCACTGGAGGGTACAATACATTGAAAAGTACATTAAAGTCAACCACAATTTCCTCAATTCCAGGTATGTATTATAACAATTTTATATTCATTTTGTACAAAAAGAAGCCGAAGAGGCAGATACAACTACTTCTGAAGAAGCCCGAGTATATAAAAGATTGGATGATCTTGGGTATGATGATAGTGATTTAGAAATTGAAGGTCACAGTTCTGAATTATCTACATCTCAAGAAGAGTATCCAGTAATTACAACAGGCAAAAACTTTAACTCCGAACAAGCTATTAAAACAGCTCCTCAACCATTGTACAGATCTATAGCAACTAATAGAGATATTGATTTAAAAACTAATGTAAATACTAAAGCTATTTCGGAAACCAAATCAATTAATTGTCAAACGAGTGGAGATTTTATGAAAGATTTTCAAGATAAGGAGAATTTGATAAAAGTGTTGAAGAAGGAATTGGAGATTAAGGATCAACAAATATTATCACTAAGAACTGAAATGGAAGTTGAGCAGAGAAAGAAGTGGAATGTCGCTGATGAGTCAACACAAACGATTAGTAATACGACCGAAAAGTCATCTCAAGTGAATATTGAGGATGGAGAGAAGGAACACCTTCAAATCACTATTCAAAAATTCAAACATAGAATACAGGAGCTAGAAGCAGACATTATTGAAAGACAGGATGAGGTCGATCAACTTAACAACAAGATCAAGAACTTAAAAGCCGACATTTTAAATGCACAACATGATGAATCGAGTAATGTAATATTACAAAAGCAAATCAACAAGCTATCCAAACAATTATTTGAATTACAAACAGAAAATACAATGTTAAATGAAGAGTTAAGGAAACATGAGGAAATAATGAATTATACACAAAGTGATATAGACCATTCCAGTTTACAACAAACTACAAAGACAGCAGATATGGAATTTGAAAATCTGAAAAAACAGCACGAAACTAACGACAAATTCTTAAAAGAATATCAAAAGCAAAATGAGAAACTAACAAGGGAGAATAAGGAATTAGGTTCTGAACTTAAAAACGTAAGAGGGGAATTGGACGATTTGAAAAGAAAACGAGCATTAAATGAAAAAGAAAAGGATGAAATTCATACCCTCCACAGAAAAATAAGAGAACTTGAGGAAATTATTCATTCGGAAAGAGTAGAGTTCGATAGAAAGGAAGAATATCTTAAAAATCAAATTCAAAAAGTCAAACACAGTAAGGAGGAGTTAGAAGTGAATTTGAAAAAATTAGATCCTCAAAAACTTGAGGAACAACGAATGTTCATCTTGAGTTTCGAAGAAAAATCAAAAATACTTGAACAACAACACAATGAAAAAATGATGGAATTATGTAGGAGACTTAAGATACAACAAGATCTTCAGGACCAATATGACCAACAAACAACAACAATACAACAACAGGAGAGGTTAATTAATAATTTGAAACACAAAATTAGAGAAATTGAAACAAGTTTATTTGATACTGAATCAAGGATTAGAGAGAAAGAGAGAGAAAATAGAGAATTAAGATCAGAAAACTCAGATTTGTGGAGAGAGAAGAAAGATATTTCAAAAACTAGGGATAAAATTTTGGAGCTAGAACAAGAAATTCGAATAAGGGATGAAAAAATCAATGCCTTCCCTAGAGATATCGAGAAGCAAAAGATAGAATATGAGAACAATATTCAAGAAGCTGAGATTAGAGTAAAAAAACTGGAATTTATGAAAGATAAAGAACATGAGAGTAAAATGAAAGAAATCAAGGAATATTATTTGAAAAAACAGAAAGAACTGAATGATACTGTTAAGGAATTATCTAGAGGAAAATCATTAATTTCAAACAAGAAAAAATCCAAAAATATCGCACAAGACTCTGATAATGATTTTCTTAAGGATGAATTGTTTGCAAAACAAGCAACTATTGAAGAATTAATGAAAAAGATTACGGAAATAGAATCAAGAAATGAAGGAAAGGAATTATCAAACAATGAAACCTCAGTAATAAGGGAAGGTAATATTAATGAAGAGAGTGAACTAATAGGTGAACTAAGAATAGTTAGACTAGAAAAAGAAGAGTTGCTGAGAAAGTTAGAATTGTCAGAGATGAACAAAGTGTTCATAAAAGAAAATGCCATGGAACAAGTGAAGGCAGCCTACAGTGAATTGAATACTACAAGAGAAAAGTATAGAAATGAAATACAGAACCTCGAGGAGAGACATAACCAAGAAATGAAATGTCAAGAATCACATTTTTTGCAAGAGATTGAAGATTACAAAAATATCATTGATAATTCTGCTACTAAACAAACCCACACTTTACAGTTAATTAATGAAAATTCAGGAGAGAATTCCAGAATCTTAATGCTAAAGCAATTAATTTCACGAATTGAAAATTTGGAAAGCAAACACAAAATCAAAGAGATGGAACTGGAAAGAGAGCTCAACGAGACAAGATATAGATATGAACTGAAAATTACATCAATGAAACAACATCTTGATTTGACAGTCCAACAAAAAAACCAACAAGTACTTCAGTTAAAAACTTCCCTTGATAATTTAGTACAAGCATTCCAAAAGCTAAAGATAGCCCAAAGAGAAAATTTATTTTAAAGTAAAAAAAATTGCATAATGATCAAAAATGACATTTATTCATCATCGGAATCTGATGACTCTGTAATGTTGAGCAGTGATGACAGTGACGAGGAAAATACATTGAAAAACGCTTTAAATTCTGCAAGAGAATTATCTAATATTAAACCTAATTTTGGCTATTCTTTCGACAATATATCAACTTTTATACCAAACTTTGAAAACGGTATTAACAACAACCACCAAATTTACAACATTTCCCAAGCTATTGACTCTTCTGATACTACTAATTTGAATATTTCCGATAGACTACTACATTTGAAGGAAGGGCTAAATTTTAATGAAAAGTATAAGCAATTACTGCAAAGCGAGATTGAAAAAATAGAGGAAGCACAAAGAAATGTAGGAACCATTCAGAGGGACATCAGAAAAGAGTTAATACAACGACAGAAAGGTCCTCCAATGTCACTTTATCCATCCCGAAAGAATCTTTCTCAAAATAATGGGAAAATATCAAAAAAGTTGGCTTGTGAATTTTTTGTAAACCTGGCTCAATCAAAGTTAAAAGCCTCAGGTAGTTCTGCTATTATTGTTGATGAGTACAATACTAGGATACTACAATCGGCTGCTATTGCATCGAAAGGAGCAGAAAAACCTAAAAAATCGAAAAAACAACAAAAAAAGAAAAAAAGAAACACAGAGGATGAGGAATATATTAGTGACTCTGAATTCCAGTCTGATGATGATGGATATGATGAAGAAGTTGATAATGAAATAGATACAATAGAGGAGATGGCTGAAAATACAGTAATTATTCAGGGACCAGCTCCAAACTCTGATACACTCACTAGACAAGAATTTCTCAAACTTGTTCCACTTGTGTTTGATACTAAAAAGTGGTCTAACAATGAAATTAAAAATATTAGATATGCTGTCAGATTGCAACATCAAGAAATGGAGTGTAAGAGAGTTTTTGAAACATGTAAAGGAGATAGTAACCTTTTAAAAAAAGAATTTGAGAAGGTTAAAAACATGTCAGGTGAGGAGTTAGAAAATATAGAGAGCTCGAAAATTGATTGGGAAAAAGTAGCAAAATTTTATGTAAAAACTAGGAAACCTGAAGAATGCAGGAAATTTTGGGAAATTGAACTGGCAAAAGATATTAAAAAAGATAACTGGTCTAAAGAAGAAGATATTAATTTATTATATGTTGCAGACGATTCAAAGGGCCATGATTGGTCGAAAATATCCAACAAGCTTTATGAAACTCAACCTTTAAAAAGAAGACCTATTCATTGTTTCAGAAGGTACCAACGAAGTTTAAATACAAATATGATGAGAAGTAAATGGACTGAAGAAGAAGACAGGAAACTTATGGAGGCAGTAAAGTCATTTGGTGAAAAGAATTGGCAACAGATAGCCAATCAATTAGAAGAAAGGACAGGACAGCAGTGTCTGCACCGTTGGATGAAAACACTCAATCCTGCAATTAAAAGAGGAAGATGGACAGTTGAAGAGGATAAGCGGCTTTTAATGGCAGTTAATGCATACCCTTCCAACAATTGGGTTCTTGTTAATAGACACACACCTGGAAGAACAGACGTGCAATGTAGAGAGCGGTGGTGTAACATTCTAAATCCAGTCCTGAATGTTGGACCCTGGACGAAAGAAGAAGATGAAAGTCTCAAGCGTGCCATTAAAGATCTAGGAGCTGGTAACTGGTCTAAAATTGCTGAGGTAATGCATCCCAGAACTGATAATCAGTGCTGGAGACGTTGGAGGTTGATAAGCTCAGAAGAAGTATCAGATTATAGAAAGAAGATTTACAAGAGGGAAAAGGCTCTCGTAAAAAACTTTGTTGGCAGAGAAAAGGAAAGACCTGATATAACTGCAGATGATCTTCAAATAACTCATCCAGAAAGCGACAATAACTTGATCCAACTATCTATTTCAGAATTTGTAGAAAAAGATAGATCTCTGATTTTCTCTCAAAACTCATTACTTTCAAGTACTATTTGTGTAGAATCAATGCAATCATTGCATCAATCACTCACCATCCCAAAACTAAAGAGTGTTCTTGAAATAGAATGGCAAAGAATGGACCAAATACGTTTTCTTTTGGAGAAAACACCTTACTTTATTGGAGTGCCACTATCAAACATTTTGAAAAGAGTTATGAGCTTGATGTTTTCTCTCAAGGGTACACTCACTATCAAGCACATTTATATTCCAGAACTACCTAAAAAAGAAATTAGAATACAGACCTTTAAAAGCATGGTGGTTCCAATAGAAAGACCAGTTTTCTCTTTCCCTTGCATTGTACCAACCACTCTTTCTCCTTCTCTTCCATCAGTTACCGCAACTAGTGTATCCCTTAATGCTTTAGCAACTCTTCAAGATGTACTATACAATAGAGGTAGCCCAAAAATGGCTACCACTACAGCAAAGGTGATAGATATCCAATCTAGTTCAGAGAAACTATCAACTTTCCAAATACCTGCTTTTCAGCCAACAACCAAAGACTGGGTTTATGAACCGCCAACTCTTGTTCACAATAACGCTTCTATTTTACATTCACCAGAGTTTAAAACTCTATCTAGTGTGTTTAATTCATTATTCCAAAAGCCTATGCAACAAACGATTGGTAAATTGGCAGAGAGATTACCTCATTTATTGAGACGAGTTCCTCATGCTGATATTTTGAATAAGTCTATGGAAGAATCACAGACCAATTACCAACACATATGTCAAAATTCAAAAGATCCATTTATTATACAACAATCAAAATGGGAAACAGAAAAAACTCTCAGTGATCCACCTACATTTTCCACCGTTTTTTCATTATATCACCATTTACCAACTGATGATTTGTTTAATAGAAACGAAGCAAGCACTCTTCCCCAAGCTCCTTTGATTCTGGTTAAGCCCAAAGGTGTGAGAGGCAGACCAAAAGGATCAAAAAACAAAAAGACACTCGAACTCGAGAGACAGAGAAGGGAAGCAGATACACAGAGCACCTTGTCAGCTGGTGGTAGCACTGCCGAATCACAAGTAGTCCAACAAACCAACAGTGCGATCACAAACACTACCACGGCAGAGGTCTCACAAAAGAGAGGAAGAGGAAGACCAAAGGGATCCAAAAACAAACCTAAAACCCTTGAACAACTTACAGAACAAAAGAAGAAACAGTTGAACAAGCCAGTTGTAAGGAAGGTATCCAAAAATCAAACTGGTTCCTCTAAAAAACGAAAAACTGGGCAAACCACGGATCTTACTCTTGACAGAACAACAGCAGAGGAAGAGCAATAAGTTAACCCTTATTCAGTAGGATAAGAGAATATATCTTTGTTCCTCAATTCGACCTTTTTACTCAGTCTCTAGTTAGCCACTTTTGCAGTTTAGAAATTTTTGCAATGGCTTAATAATTTGGCGGTAATCTTCCTCCAATTACAGCAAAAAAAATACACTATCACCTTGAGTTTATCACTCACTGTTAAAAACGTCATCATACCTTGTAAAATAGTAATAATTAAAAAACATGAGCAATTGGCTAGAGGCTAGACAAGGCCACGTTTCCCATTCCGGAATAGGAGAACAAAAAAGGGCACAGCCATCGCCAATAGCAAGTAATTCTCAACAAGTAAACTTTGTTTCAAATCTTAGTACCAGCGGAAGTAGTGGAGGCACTCCATCTGTTGTTCCAATTTTTAACATTCAGAAAGAAGTCGAAGATTTAAGTAATAAGATTTACTCTTTTATGTACACTGTGGGAAGGATAGAATCTCACACAAAAGAGTTGGAGAAAAAAGATTCAGATTCAGTTAAAAACAAATTAAAGGCACACAGGGAGAAGGCGAAAAAGGAACTACGATGGTTGCTGCAAAAGTTTGAAGAAATTTCTTGTAAAGCACCCAATCTCAAGGACTCAACTACTGAAAAAGTGTTTGAAAAGATAACGAAACAATTCAAGGATCAATTTGAGAGATTTCAAAATGTATCAAAGCATTCGATAGAGGTTGAAAAGAAACACCTAATTAAGGTACACAGCAGATCGCGCCAAACTGAAAATTCTGCTCTTGTGGACGATACTGAGAATAATGACACAGATGGGGAATATGAAGATCATAAATACGGAGTTGGAAAATACGAACAAGAGCAACAAGATTTATTCGAACAACGTTTAATTTTGACAGAGTTTGATCACAGTATGATTCAGACAGAAAAGGCGATCGCTGAAGAGAGATTGAATGAGCTCAAACAATTAGAAGTAGATATGAACGATATTTATTCATGTTATGTTGATTTAAGTTCAATGATTAAACAGCAAGGTGAAACAATGGACACAGTCGAGTCCAACATTTTAAAATCAAATATAATGGTGGAGGAGGGAGTGGAATATATAGAAACATCCAGAAAGAAATTGTCTTATCGTTTAGTGATTCAATTATTATTGATTGCTGGATTTACTATTATTGTGATATTGGGAGTTGTATTGGGAGTGATATACATTATTTAACTGTAAAATAAATGAACTAGCTCTGATAAGGTTAGCCAATTATGCAAATCTCTTTCGGAAATGCTTGTATCAGAAACTCTGTTTCTTACAAATGTTTGAGTAGCAAGTTGATTAACATCTTGAGTCAATTTGATATCCTTGTAATTGTTCCTTGCTATTTGGCTAATATAAGATTGGAATAATAGGGACTGACTATCATTAATTGCAGGAATTTCTAAAGATTTTTCAGGCAATAATTTAACCAAATAATTTACATCTCTGTGGAATAGACTTTTACCTTTGGAAATTATTACAACTGGAATGTCAACATTCATTATAAGTGGATGATATGAATAATCATAGTCAACTTTTTGTGAAGAAATAAGAGTTGATAGATGGGAAATATTTCTCATAGCTCCTTCAAGTAAATTTCCTTCCCGAAGAGAGTTTTCGTCAATAATGAGATGTGTGCCTGATGGTAATTGTAAAAGGCCTGATTTTAACTTATCCATTTGATAATCCTTAACAGGGGCTAGTCTGGTATGTTCAAGATTACTGCTTGTCATTTCAAAGAGGTACGAAGAGGGAAGAAGGGTGTGAAGAATTTCATCCATCTTTTTAGCAGTATCCTTGTCACAGTTATAGATATTCAGAATGAATTTTCCAAGTGTTACCCCATAATTATGAGAACGACTTTACAATGCCATTATTATTTAAATTAATTGTGTTAACTTACACTCTGCTAATAAGATTGTACAATAAAAGTTCTGCAACCAGACAATCACCTCCAAAAGCTAAAGTTAAATATTCCAATAACTGATTTCTGACAATATCCCATGAATACTCCGAATTAGTAATTGTTACAACATCAAACACAGATTTGTATTTTTTAAAGAACAAGACATGTAATCGTGGGACAAGAGTTGCTTCGGGTCTAAAATTGCAAAATTCCTCCTCTTCATCTGTACACATTTTGTTAGGTGACTCAAATGTTAAAATTCCTACAAAATCTACAAGTTCAGTATTTTTGAATCCAAAGTCTTCTCCATATAGTTTAATAAGACAAGCGAGACCATCTTCTCCTTTGATGGGGAAGTCCAACATCTCATCTCTATCAGAAACAACAGATCTCTTATCAGAAGTAGAAATATTTTCATGAAGTTGTCTTTTTTTCTTTGTTTCCAATTCCAGCTCATCTGACATGTCATCTGATTCACCTTCTGAATCTTCATCATTTCTTTTCCTTTTTGTGTTTTGTACTGTTGATTTTTTGAGTGTTGATTTGTTCACTTCTTCGTTTTTGTTGGTGTTATTAGGGTAGAATGAAGTTCGTGACCACTTTGCCTCCCCTGGTATCGGAATGCAATAGAATAATTCTCTTTCAATCATCACATTGTCGTTGAAAAAATTATTGTCATCATACCCTGCTTCTCTATACAAATAATTTGCTGTTACTAATTCAGTATTATGTACATCTTGTATGATGCCTCTATATTTGACCAGAGTATTTGGGGTTGACATTGGATTTAAAGAAGGAATAATTTTAAACATTTCGTCAGATCCGAAATGTTCTTCGTAGCATTTGGACATTTGTAAATGAACATCGATTGGATTGGCAAGATTTTTACTTTTAATCAGCTCTTCCAATATTTGAAAGGGGTTTTCTATCATTAGATTGGTTGCATTCATTTTTTTTATTTAATTATTAAATAATTCAATTACAGCATTTCCTCTACTAACGACTTTAGAACATCTGCATGACATGGCCGTTCATACCTCTCACAAAAACACCCAATTTTCTTTCCTTTCAGTTCATGTAAAGAATTTTTCAAGTTTGGTTGAGAAAGAATGTAATCTCTGTACTTTTCTAAGGATTCTTTCTTGGGTAGTTTTTCGAAAGGGTTTGCCCATTTGGACTCGTTTAATTGCCACCCACTATGAAAACATCTTGAGCCAACATAAACATCACAATTTTGTATCGTTTCACCTTTCTTTTTTCTTATTCTAACAACTTGTGTTTGAGTGTCAATAATTTCAATATCTAATTGGTTTCTTGTTTTCGGTTTCTTTTTCTTGGGAGAAATAACGCACGGGATGAGTCTACCGGTTGTTTGACTCTTAATAAACAGGTTTCCATTTAGTTTTTTCATTGGAATATTTACATTACTATTGTACAGTTCTTGGTTGCTTTCCATAACATCTGAAAAATATCGTTTCCTTTTTTGATCATTTATTTCCGGTTCATCCATTAGGCTGTTCTCTGTTGTTTGGGTTTCTTCTGAAAATGTAAGAACAAAAATGCCTGCCTTCTTCTCCTGGGAGGTTAACATTTTTTTTTATTGTTAGTTCTTGCCCACACTGGAATTGGTTGGCATCAAAAATATTAACTATTTTTTTTAAAAAAATGAAACCATAACCACAAAACATCAAATCAAACAACCAACAACCAACAGCTAGAAAAATGTATACATAGTATCGAACGAAAGATCAAAAACACAGCTCACGTCCACAAAGGATCGTTACTAATTCTGTCATGATACCCTCGCCAGTGTGAGCTCATACACCACATGTTGACTAAAGAAACAGCATTCAGACCCTCAAGTCAAGTGACTGTGCCGAAGTCATCATACAATACTTTTTTCTTTTAATTATTTAATTTAATTCTTTATTCATTCCACACACATTTTTCATAATTAAAAGAAAAATCTTCTGAACACTCCACTTCTACCATGTATGACTTCGAAACAATCTCTACTTTTTCCAATAATGAAATAATATCATTCATCTTGTCGGATCGAATTATCGACTCCTCTGTAAAGTAGTCTCCAATTTGTTGCAAAGAGGAAAGCCTTTTGAACCATTCAGCTAATTTTCTCTTATTGAATGCGTTAACGACAAACAAAACAAATTTAACATCATTTGGCTCTGTGAGCTTGATTTTGGCACTAGAAACTAGATCATTAATACCATGATAAATGTCCTTGATTTCTCCTTGTGTTTTTTCTGCCTTTTCAACGTAGAACTTGATAAAATCCCAAAAGTAATACCTTCCAAAGAATTTAAAAGCTCTAAAACCAACTTCAAATATTGCAAGAAGTGATCTAGATAATTTTCTTTTAACAATTTTCTCCATGTCCTCAGATAACTCTATCTTACATTTAATTTCAGCCAAAATAGATTTCAAGTTTTCAATTGGTGGTGCATTTGGAAAGTCAATTAAAAGGTTATCTGCAATTAATTGTTGTATCTCCTCACTTGTTTCAAACAGGTCAATATTTTTGATTTTGAATTTAGATTGTTTTTTAGAGAGGAATATCAAATCTTCCTTGGTATTAGGTTGATAAAGGATGGATGAAGGGGCAAAGAATTCTTTGAGAAATTCTGTGGATGTGAAAAAGGATTCCCAAAAGTCCTTACTGAAAAAACCATTTACATTTAAATAGTACACATAAAGAATAGACAGAGAAAAATATTCCTTATCTAAACTTGTTGATAATTTCAAATCTGAAAAGGATTTTTTAAATCCTCTCAACTTTTTGACAAGCTTTTTCAATTTGGTTTGAGTACTAATTTCAGATTCCTTCTTAATAGAGTTCATAAGAAAATCTACAAATTTTGGAATAATAATATTGTAGAGGAAGGTTGGTGTGTTGTGCCCAATACTACATTGGTCAGACAGGATTAGAGAGTATTGTCTAGCTATTTCTATTACGTATTGGTCGTTATAGTTTAAAATTACCTTATTTTCTTCATCTAACTTTAACTCTCCTTTGGCTAGTTTTTTGTATAAAGTAGATAAGGTATTGTCTATCATCTCAATTGCTGGAGGTGTTTGTGTTTTGTTTGCTTTGCTTGGAAGTACTGCTTTTTTCTTTTCTTTGTTTTCATCTATTTGCTTGCCCTCTTCTTTCCTCTCGTCTTGATAATTTTCATTTTTTCCTTGATCACTTACATTCTCAATTTGAAAATTACTTTCCACTTTATCTAATATAATCTTAGATTTTCCTGCTTCATTATTGGATTGATTATTAAAGACAACTTTTTGTTCTAACTCTGAAATAGATTTTTCTGAAATCTTGATATGGGTTTCCTTTTCTGAAATAGTTTTTTGAAATTTTGTTTCTTGATCGAGAAGTTCAATAAGTTTCTGTTTAAGTTCATTTTCTTTTTTGGATAATTCTGATAATGATTTTTCAATAATTGTCTTTTCAAGTTCATGGGATTCAATTTGTTGTTCTTTTTCTTGTTTTTCTTTCTCATAACTCTTGACACTATTTTCTTTTTCTAATATATACTCTTCAAGCTTAGCTATTTGATTACTAATGTCAACAAGGTTCCTGTCTAGCTCTAAACTTGTTATTTCTAAAATCTTGACATTTCTTCCCTTTTCTAATATTGATTTTTCCAAAATCAGAACTTGACCTTCTTTTTCTACTATGCAACCTTCAAGTTTTGATTCCTGTTTATCAAGTTCAATAATTTTTTTTTCGATATCAGAAATTGTATTTTCTAACGTCTTAATATTATTTTCCTTTTTTAAAATTGATTTCTCATATTTCTTAATATTATTTGTCTTCTCTACAATGGATACTTCAAGATTTTTTTCTTGAGTAACAAGTTCTGAGAGTTTTTTGTCAAGCTCTGTAATTGTCATTTCTAAATTTTCTATAGTATTTTCCTTCTCTACAATAGAAGACTCTTGAAAATGTTGCGTTTCAACAAGAGAGTTTTTAGCTTGGTTATTAAGGTCAACAACTTTTTGTTCTAACTTTGAAATAGATTTTCTGATATTGGTTTCCTTTTTTGAAATAGTTTCTTGAAGTTTTGTTTCTTGATTGAGTAGTTCAATAAGCTTCTGTTCAAGTTCTGTAATTATCATTTCTAAATTTTTGATGATATTTTCCCTCTCTATAATAGAAGACTCTTTGAAATGTTGTGTTTCAACAAGCTCATTTTCTTTTTTGGATAATTCTGATAATGATCTTTCAATAATTGTCTTTTCAAGTTCAAGTTTTCCAATTTTTTGTTCTTTTTCTTTTTTTTCAATTTCTAGTTTGTAAACATTATCATGGAGTTCTTTGGTTTTGCTATCCAAATCTGCCTTTTCTTCCATTGATTTAGTATATTCAGATTGTTGATTCATTAATTGTACTTCAAGATCTGCAATTATTTCACACATTGCAACTTTTCTTGATGAAAAATCTGCAAAATCGTGCTGCAATCTTTCTTTCTGCAAACTGGTCTCTTTCACAATGTCTTCCACTTCCTTATTCATTGAAGAAATATTTTCAACATTTTGTGTTTCCTTTTCCAAATTTTCTTTTAACAATAACATTTGATTTTGCAAAGAGGATTTTTGCTCTTCCAAATTAATAGCTTTGAATCATACTCGGAAATATCTTTTCTCAATTTTTCAACAACTTTTGTGTCTTCTTCTACTTGTAGTGTTGACTGAATGATATTATCTTGCAAATTATTGGCTGTAAATCTTAATTCATGCAGTTCGTGTTGCTTTTTCGAAATTGAAATTTCGTTATCCTTAATTTCTGTTTCCAATTTGAAAATTTCATTCTCTAACCCCTTTATCTTTTCCAAACATGTAATTTCATTATTTTGTAGAATTTGCTTTTTGTGTTCTAGTTTTTTCTCAGTATCTCTTCCACTATTACATCTTTCTTTTAATACCCTTAGTGTTTCCTCATATTTGAGAATAGATTCGTTTAATGATCTTTCTTCTTCTTCTTCTAACTTTTTTAGCATTTCCAATTTTTCAAGAGTTTTCAACTTGGAGTTGTCTTTTAATGTTTCTAAAATATCTGTTTTTTCTGAATTGTGCTTATCTATCAACATTATTTCTTCCTCTAATCTCATTAATTGATCCTTGAGTTGTTTCTCTTCCTCTTCCTTAACTTCCTTCTTCTTGACTGCATCTTTTAACTTTATGCCTAGTTCTTCTATTAGTACCTTCAACGCTTCTAAATGTACTTCTTCAGTTTTAATACATATTTCAAACTCCTTAACTTTAGATCTGATGGAATGTGTGTTATCTAACAATATTTTATGCTTCTCTTCTTCTTCTTCAAGCTCTTCTTCAATTTTTTGGGCATCGAATGTGTACTTGTCAAAAAGTAGTTGTTTTTCGTCTAGCAACAACATTGAATTTTGAATTCCATTGCTCAAATTCTGAATATTGTTTTCAACTATTTCTAGTGCACTCTTAAGTTGGTTTTCCTTGTTGTTTCTTTCTGCAATTATCATGTTGAGATTCTCCAATTTCTCTTTTTTGGTTTCTTCAAGGGACTGAATAGTCTTTTCGGCCTCTTCGATACTGTTGGTTATTCTTTCCAGTTCTGATTCAATACCTTTTCTTTTAGTAATTATTACATCAAGACTACTCAATTTAATGCCAATTTTAGATTGGAAACAATTAAAAGATTCCTCTTCAAAAGAAATTGAATTCTCAATTTCTGAAATTTTCCTTTCAATTTCCTTTTTTTGTTCTTCCTTTAATACTAATTCTCTGGTCTTTGAATCGTGCTGAACTCTGATTTCCTCCATTTTACTCTCTATTTCTTCTTGGTTCTTTTTAAATTTTTCTTCTACCATATTTCTATAGAGAATCTTATCATGTAATATTAATTCTTGTTCCTCTAACTTTTCTCTAAATATACAAATATCCTCCTTTTGTAATTCTATTCTGTCTTCTATTTGAGATATAGATTCGCTCAATTTATGTTCTTCATCAGCTAACTTTGGTCCTAATTCAACTAGATTTTTGTAATTCTCTTCTAGAGATTTAATGTATAATTCCATTTCTTTGTTTTGGTTTTCTTTTTCATAGACATTCTCTTTAAGCTTTTCTGTAAGCTGAGTAATTTCAAGATTAGTTTGAAGAGAATTGGCTAATTGCTTTTCTACTTCTTCTAATTTTTGTTGAAATATGATTTGCTCTTTTTCAGCGGTTTGTAAAAGTGTTTCTTTTGATTTCAAAAACCCATCATTTGCCTTTTTTTTCATTTCTATTTCTTCGACTTTGAGTTTTTCAAGATCATGCTCATAAGTTTTTCTTGCTTTTAGAATGCAACATTCAACACGTGTCTGTTCTTGTTCTAATGAAAGTTGCAACTCATTCTCAACCCTATTTTTTTCAATTTCAAGGGATTTTACTTTTTCTGATTTTATATCCCTTATCTTGGATTCAAGTGCTGCTACTTGATCAGATATAATTTGCTCATTTGATTTCAAAAAAATTTCCAAATTTTCTCGTTTTTCGTTGATTGTAAGGATCAAACAATTAAGATGATCAATATGGTTTTTAACTTCTACCATTGGCAAGTATTCGTAGAATTTTTGGAAAGCTTGTTCCTCAAATGTCTTGGAATCCAACTGTTGAGAAACTATTTGTTTCAATTCATCACGCATTTCACTTTGTGTTTTCAAGAACACTTCTGCCTCAGTGCAAATCTTTGAAAATATTGGTATTTTCTTGGCTTTTTCAATTAATAACCCCAATATTTCATCAGGATTTTTTTGCTCCATTTGAAGCAAAATCTGATTGGAAATATTACTTTCTAAAAATATAGATGTCTTTCTTTGTACCAGTTTGTCCATCGAGGATAAAATTTCCGCATCTTGCTCAAGCTCTGACAATTTACACAAAATATCATCAATAGACGAGACACTTATTTCATCGTTATTAAGAATATTCTCAGTGTAATTTAGTAGATCGTTTCTTTTTTTGAGTTTCTCCAACTTATTAGTTAAAAATATTTTTTCTTTCTCCATAAAATTTCCTTCCAATGTATTAATAATCTCCTCAATTTGGGTAATATTATTAGAGGAAATATAATCTTTCATATTTTTTCTGATAAGATTAATTTTTTGAAATAAATCATTTGATTTCTTTTGTAAAAGCACAAAATTGGTATTTTCATTCCCTTCCTGACAAATGCTACTAACTTTTTCATTCCATAAACGTAATAAGCATTCATTACCCAACTTCATGATAACCTCAAATTCCTCCATGAGACGTTTTTCATTATACTCTTTCCATTGATTGGTTATTTCGATAATATCTTTTTTTGATAGGAAATTTGTAAATTTTGATATATACTCTTCCAATCTCTTGCTTACATGAATACTTTCGAATTGATCCAAAATCTTATTTTTTGAAGTTTGGTTTTGTATAATGAGGTAATCCACTTCATCCAATAATTTGTTGTCAAAAAACTCTGTACAATCTTTGCACTGTTGGAATAAAGTTATTATATTTGAGAAATCTCTCTCAATTAATCTACATTCAAGATCTATAAAATGTTGGATTTCCAACTCTGCTTTTTTAGCTTTCTCTAATAATTGTAAATTTTTTAAATCAGTACTATTCTCAATTATATTAACAACTTCATGAATCCTATTAAGATTTTTTTGTTTTAAAGCGCTATTATACTCTTCTAATAACTCTTCTTCTCTATCTAATTGTGATAACACAGAAATAGCCCTATTTAAATGTTCGGGAAGAGAATTTGTAAAACGTTTGCCTATGGATATGGCTTTTTCCAAGTTGGTTTTTTCCCTGGCCACAATAGCATTTTCAAGCAGAACCCTGCTTTCTTGAATAGAACCTAGAATGCTATTCATTTGGTCGATTGAAGAAATGAAACTTGACTTTAGGTGATCCTCTTTTTCAATAGTTTTTAAACAAGCTTTCAGCTTGCCCTCCTCTCTTTCCGCAATGGCTTCATCCACTAAAAGTTCCATCTTTTGGATGTCATATCTTTCCCACAATTTCCATTGACTGTTGACAAAGCTTTCACTAAAATTTGCAGAAATACTAGACAATACTGCACTAAATTCTTCCTTTCCAAGTGATAAATTAATTGGAAGTAACGAATTTTGTGTTTGATGTAATTGGCATACTCGGCTCCAAATTTCCGAAATTTCTGCGTCTTTAAAATCGTTTCTAATTTCTTTCTGAACAATTTGGAAATTTGATAAATCTCTTGTTTTTAACATTGTTTCTAGCTTGTATTTGATGTCTAACTCCTCCACGGAAACGGAGAGCAGAGAATCAAGCAGTAGTTTCGCTTCATTTCTCAAATTCTGCCATTTTTCTGTTTCTGATTTTATTCCATCTG